ACATAACACTGGGAACCTTGGATACCTTCCAAGAAGAACTTTGCAGAAAACAACAACAAAAACTAAATAAAACCTTAAATGCAAACCCATCGACAAGCACAAATGTCTAGATTTCCAACAGCATTTCTTTACTCTTTTTAAAGCTCTGACTCACTGGATAAGTGAAGAGTGTTGCTTTGCACAGTAAGGCAAATGCCTTGAGAGTTTTAACTGCTGGACTATTCATTTCCTAACTGAACCTGAAATGTTAGTTTAATAGTAAAATTATTTCGTGACTCCTAGACTAGAAGATACAGTTAACATTCTTGTTTGCATTAAATAACATACAAGTTAATACATAAAAGCAAGGGTAGATCTCTCCCCCACTTAGGAAGCAATGAGCGCTTTCCTCTGCCCTTGGCTAAGGCTCATTCATCTAAATACTCCTTGGGTCTCATATGTAATGTGAATGAGTAGCACACAAATATTTGTTGAATATCATATTCAACTATATTCCTTGAACATCACATAATTTACTTGTGTAGCTATGTTCTTTTCTGGGGGTGGGATTCTTACTGCTTTAGAAACATCAGACCCTCTACATCAATTAGTAATTGTCAATATAAACAATGGTTCTATTTTAAAATTCTCTTGAGGTTTCTAAGAAAAGTTAAAGTAAAACCATAATCATAGAAATTGATGGGCTCAACTTCAGGAAGGACTATGAACCCTACTCAGCTCCTCACCCTAGAAAATAAAAAGATTAAGACTTAATGTCCTCTGATATTTTAAGTGTAACTGGTCTATTTAAATGTAAAATTTATCTGTTTTTAGATGACAGTAAGGAGCCCAATATTCACATTGTATAGCAATAAAGTAATAAATAAGCAAAAAAAAAAACCCACTATGACCTGAATTTGGTTGCAGTTTAATTTCCTAAGAATTGAACTAGTTTACCTATCTAGCACTATAAACAGATGTTCCTCAATGTATATATGATGAAGTTGACATCATATAAACCCATTTGAAAATACCACTTAAGATACCCCACCTCCCAAACTTTCTATGTTAATCTAATCTATTTTGGTGGTTTGAAAGAAAATGGCCCCCAAAAGGAGTGGCACTATTAGGAGGCGTGGCTTAGCTGGAGTGGATGTAGCCTTGTTGGAGGAAGTGTGTCACCATGAAAGTAGACTGTGATACCTGTGATGCACTGCTCAAGATACTACCCAGTGTCTTAGACCACTTCCTTTTGCCTGCAAGATGTAGAATTCTCAGCTACCTCTCCAGCACCATGTCTGCCTGCCTGCCACCTTGTCCCACCATGATAACGGACTGAACCTCCGAAACTGTAAGCTGCCCTTCAATTAAATGTTTCCTTCATAAGAGTTGGTGTGATCATGGTGTCTCTTCACAGCAATAGAAACATTAGCAGATGGATGGGAAAAGTGTCTGACACAAGGCCTATTTTATACAGTGTTGAATAACCCATGTAATTATTGGATGGAATACTGAATATAGAAAACAATTGTTAAAAACAATGACATCATGAAATTTGAAGCCAAGCAGATGGAACTAGAAAAATTCATCCTGAGTAAGATAACCCAGACCCAGGAAGTCAAACATGGTATATACTCACTTATAAGTAGATATTAGTTGTAAAGTAAATGATAACCACGCTACAATTCACAGCCTCAGAGAGGCTAGGTAACAAAGAGGGCCCAAGAGTATAACAGGAAAAATAAAAACCCAGAGACAAATATTGGGGTTCAAGCTCCAAGCTGAAGATCAGAAAAGCAAAGCATCCGGCCACTAACTCTCACACTACAGCAGGCTGAAAGGTTCATCCTGGCTCCACCAGCTCTCACAAGGCTTCAGACTGCTACCTCTCCTCAGTGTGGCTGGAGACTAAATCTTTAAGACTTTGCTTCTTCCGTATATTCCTTTCTCCACCCAGCCATATCACTCCCTAGTGTTTGGATTAAAGATGTGTGATCCCAAGTGCTGAGATCACTTTTGTGTGGGCTGTTTCTCTTTAGAACTGGATCAATTTCTTGTAGCTCAGTGTGGCTTTGAACTAAGAGAGATCCATCTGCTTGTCTCTTGAGTCCTGAGATTAAAGGTGTGTGCCACCACTGCCCAGTTTCTACAGCTAACTAGTGTGGCTGGTGGAATTTAAAGTGTGTATAACCATTGCCTGGCTCTGTGACTCATAGCTAGCTTTGCTTTCTGTACCCTCAGGCAAGCTTTAATAAATAATAAATGATACACCAGAACTTAAGAGGGGACCCATAAATCTTCCTGGGAGGATATCTCATGGGTGGGAACATGAGGGATCAGGTTGTAGGATGTGTGGAGGAGGCAGATATTGAGAAAGATGACTGGAATAATATAGAAAACTGGTACAAGGGAAACTACCAAGAATCGACAAGGATGAACCCAGCTAAGACTCCTAGCAATAGGAGATTCTGTAGCCTGAATTGGCCATCTACTGTGACAAGGCAAGACTTCCAGTGGAGGGATTGGGACACCACCAGCCACACGGCCTTTGACCTACAGTCTGTCCTGGCTATCGAGTATGCAGGGGTAAGGGTGGTACAGAAATCATGGGAGTTGCCAACCAATGATTGGTCTAGACTGAGACCTATGCCATGAGAATGAGCCCACCCCTGGCAATGTGTGGAGTGCTAGGGCCCAGGCTGGATGGTCCAGAGACCTGGGATAGAAAAAAAGCAAGATTGGAGGAGGGAAAAAAGGCCAACATAATGATGCCTAAGGATATTCTACTATACTCATAGATTGGTGACTACCCCAGTTGTCATCAGAGACAGTTCTGGTTACATCCAGTACCTGGTGGAAACATGCAGAGACCTACAACGGAACACTGGGCTGAGCTAGGGGAAATCTGATGAAGAGAAGCAGGAAGCATTATATGAGGGAGTTGTCAAGGACATTACAAAAGACCCCACTGAAACAACTAACCTGGGCTCATAGGGGCTCACAGAGTCTGAATTGATAACCAAGGAGCCTGCATATGACCGACCTAGACCCTCTACATATATATGACAGTTGTGTAGCTTGGTCTGCTTGCGGGACTCTTAACAGTGGGAGCAGGGCTGTCCCTAATGCTTTGGCTGGCTTTTGGGAATCTATTCCTCATACTGGGTTGCCTTGCCCACCCTTAATACAAAAAGAGGAGCTTTGTCTTACTGTAATTTGGTATGTTACACCTTGTTGATATACATAGGCGGCCTGCCCCTGTCTGAACAGAAACAGAGGAGGAGTGGAGGGAGGGAGGGGGAGAACTGTGGTCCGGTGTATAATAAATAAAAACGTCATTTTTTTTTTTTTAAGCAGGCTAGTCAAAACAAGTACATGAAGCATGGCTTCGACTGAAGTCACATTTCTTAGGTACCATTGTAAAGTTAAAACCAAAAACCTGAGTTACAGCCATTTCAAATTAGGACCATCTATTTCAGATATTATTTTCCATCAGGATACAGAGAGCCCATAGGTTTTTGTGGCTAGTGCTAATATAATTCACTTAATTGGGTAACTATCCAGAGACGTCCAGATTGGTTCTAATATTTTGCTATTCCTTATAATAGAAGACATAATCTGCACTAGCTCAGTAGTCCCAGCCTACAAGTGGAATTACAAATCAAGGGCTTTGTAAAATGCAAAGAGAAGTTACACATGGAAGCAGCTCTTCCTTGGTTTCTCTCTTTTGCTTCTTCTAAACCAAAAAAGAAAAAAGAAAGAAAGAAAGAAAGAATAGGAAGCAATAGAAAAAAACTATTTTTGTACAATAATGGGAAAATCTACAGTTTATACTGGTCATTATATCAAGTTTCTATCTAGAACTACCCTTGAAACAGTCACCACAGTAACTTGGGTCCTGAAATCGGAAAGTTTACTGTCAGGCAGTTGGGCTTATATATTTGATGGTGTTGTGAGTAGATGGATCCAGAATTATGATTCTAACAATTAAGAGAAAAGGGTTTATATTTGGTCTGGTGGAGGTGATGGTGTATGAGTGTGTGTGAGTGGAGGTGAAGGGACATGTTCTTGAAGTAAGATGAAGTACAAGACTCTTTGACTTTAGTTCCCACTAATGCCATTAATTAGCTTCATTACCTTTTACGGGCAATATCCCTTTTATGAGCCCTAGATTCCTTTTAAAAATACAAAATGGTTGGATTGAAGATGAAAGATATTTAGAGTTATGCAACTAATTTGGATTACTAGGGAGAAAATGTAGCTAGAGAAAGGAAGGACTCCAAAATGCCCAAAACCTAACTGAAACTTTTGAACATTAAATAGTTGGGAGAAACAAATAGCTATGGGTCTAGGCAGCAGCTGTGTCTGAAGAGCGGGTGATATGGAGCAAATGGGGAGGGATGGGTTACAAGGAAAGGGGAGGATGAATCTGATGTTCTGAAAGTGAAAAGTATTCTAAGAGCGCTTAGCTGAACGCTGCTGAAGGGCTATTATCTGAGCTGTTAAGAGACTTTGACAAGGTTCATTTCAATAAATCAGTGCCATTAAATTCAGATGAGAGCCTGCTAAAGAGAGAATGAACAAAATCATGTGCGCCTTCTTTAAACACCATATGTGTTTATTCCAAACCTAAACTTAACTGTCCGAAGTCCCTTTCAAATCTGATCTCACTCTAAGGCCCGACCTCTAGCCTACCACGACTCGACCTCCCGGCTGTAAGATCGTTCGGTCACGAAAATGCTTTTAAACAGATTTCATTAAATTGGCTATTCCCAATAAACATTCATCGCGTTTACTTCATACGTCCAGCTAACCCAATCTTCTAGCTCCTAAACCTTAAAACTGGAATTGATTTTCAGAATTCCACCCCCGATACTGGGAGGGCGGGTCACGGGTGGGGCTTCATGGGTCCCGCCCACAGGCTTCCGGTGCATGCGCACTCCTCCGCGGCCGGTTTCTGCAGCCTCCCTAGCGTTCCTGTGGGTGGTTAGTTCATTGACGGACGAACTACGGGTGCCCGGCCGGCTCTTGCGGAAGTTCATGCGCCATTGGGAGGGACTCGGCGGCTGCTCTATGCCCTTGTTGCTGAGTGCCTATTCCTGGGTCACTGCGGGAGCAGGAGTCGGACTGGGGCCGACACGGTGCTCCCACGTGGCCGTCTCGGCGCCTGTGTGTGGTGTGTGGTCTGCACTGGCGGGATGTGGCGAGCACGCCAGGCGGCCGTGGCCTGGTAAGTGCGGCCTGCGACCTGGCCCCGTTATGTCATGTTCTGGGCTATTTGGACAGCGGGGTTGACCCATCACTACTTCCTGAATGTGCAGGTGACCCTCAGGCCAGGCCGAGGCTCTTAAAAGAGAATTCTCACAAGTGTTCGAGCACCCGAAGTGATAGGAGCTGGCCGGTGACCACTCCTTGTTCAGTATGAAGATTTTGGACACTTTCTGTCTTGGCCCGTCATTGCTGTCCATTTGGCCCTGCCCTTGTGATCTCGCTGTTATCTCTGTCTCTGGTTGCTGCTTTTGTTGTTGTTACATTCTCCTGGCCTGGTTCTGTCTTTGTGTCTCTATCTGTGCGTTTCATTTAACTGTCGTCTTCCAGCCGCACACCATGTATACTTTGCACTTGCAACTGCTTGGGCTCTTGTGTATGAAAGGGCTCTGCCTGTTTGCCTGACCCCCTGGCCGGAGTCAGATCTAGAGCAGTGACGCACATGAAGAGATGCGCACCTCAGAGATCTTGTTCAGTGTTGAGGTACACATGTAGATACAACGTGGTGCGGGTGGCGCCACTTTTCTAATCACGCGGTATTTGTTGCCCTAGTCTGGTTTTGAAGGAGAAAAGTCATAAAATATTTTTATTTGTATGAATTGCTGTATACACTTTGATATTAAATTTGAAGTTGTGCATGCAATTTGTGCCAATAACCTCCAAGCTCAACACACTGTTTCAGATATTTGATTATAGGAAGTTATATGCACCAAGGAAGATTAGGAAAGTGTAGTTCTCTTGAATTAACTTCACCTTTAAACAGTGATCTTCAATTTTATTTAGAACTTTTAAAGGATTTTATTTTAATTGTGTGTATGGGAGGAGTGATATGTGCATGAGTACAGGTTCTCTGGGTAGATTCCTCTAAAGATGGAGTTACAGGAGTTGAGCTGCCTGAAGTGGATATGGGAACAGGTCCTCTGCAGGTATTGCAAACATTCCTAACCCTTCCATCCATCTCTACTTTTTTTTTTTTTATGTGTATATTTGTTTTGCAAGCGTGTATGTCTGTGTGCCGCTTGTGTCTATTTCCCACAGCGACCAGGTCACAGTGTTCAGTCCCCTGGGATTGGGGTGACAGACAATTGTGAGTTGTCGGGTGGATGCTGGGAATGCAACCGCTACCTTCTGTAAGAGCAGCCCTTTTTCTTAACCAATAAATCATCTCTAGCCCTGCTTCAGGACCTTCTTTTTAATGGTGTAAAGGATTTATTATACTTAAAAGAATGGAGCCCATTTGTTTTTTTTTTTTTTTGTTTTTTTTTTCAGAGTTAACTGATAATCCAAAAGTAGGACTGCCTCTGCTACCATGTGGCTATTTTAAATCTTATGGGATTTTCATTTAGGAGTATATTCACAAGCTTTGGTATTGAAATAAGCTGTGTACAACTTTTGCATTTCTACTACTTTATAATTAATGTGAAGACATCTAATTTTCTATAAAAACAGAAAAAAACATGCACAAGATAGCATATTCATTTTAAATAATGAGGTATGTAGAAAACACTTGAAATTGAGTTTACAAATACAGAGCTGTATAGTTTGTATTGTTTGTTTAATCTGTTGGGTACCATGAGGCTGAATTGTTTCTGGAGTTAATGGGTTCCACAGTCGTGGCTTTAACATGTCTCATGCTGAAGCACAGTTTAGCAAATGTCAGAACTGGAGATAGGCAAAGCTGGAAAGCTCTGGAATTTGCCTTTTGCTGTAGTTCCTATGCAAGTTCTGAGATATTGCATCTACTCTAGGCATAAGATGGAAACAGACTTTATGTACACATAAGCATACTCCTCCTGGACAAGTCAAATGGAAGATTGATGACCAACATTTTTGGTTTCAATAAGTATTTGTGTAAAAATAACAAAAAATTTATTTCATACTAGATGGTTCTATATAGCTAAAAAGATGTGACAGTTGAGCAAGAGATGACTTGTGATCTACTTTGCATCACATTTGAATTTTGTTTTTAAGCTTCTTAGATAAAGAGGTCTTTTTCTCTTTCTAGCCACTTTTAGGATCTTTCTTGACTTTGTCCTTTGTCTCAGATTTCTTAAGGCTTTGTTCAACTGTGAGTTTTCTTTTTCATCACTCGTCTGGCTTGACCTTTGATTTTTTTTTTTTTTTTTTTTAAATCTCTTTCTTGAGTTCTGCAAAATTTTTCACTTTATTTTCTTCCTTCCATTGCATCTGGTTTGCTGTTTGTTTGTTTGTTGTGAGATTGCTTAGGTAGGTCCAGTATACTCTTCATTCCCAGAATAAAGCTATGGACTCCCTTTTTTCTCCACACATTTTAAAAGATAATGAAGTCACCTTGGAAAGACATTAAATATACATCTCTCTGCAAGATTAGTTGATATTTTCTCCAACCTACACAATTATCTTAACTGTTGTAAAAGAGAAAATGTTTGTAGTATACTAAGTTGTAGGCCAAGTCATAAAACTACATGTTGCAAAGTCCTTTTTATATTACACTATTTTTATGACTATGTTCCCCAAAGGGGAAAATTTACAAAAGCCCCAAACCTACACAGGTACCCAGAGGTGCATAGGCATATTCCTATCCAGTACTTCATTCCCTGATTGCAGTGGACCATTGCCAAGTACCCTACAGGCTGCATTATACCTCCCATCCCCCACTTTGATACCACTTCTTTGCATCGTAGCTTTCATATTTTCATTTTTTCTTTATTCTGTGACCTAGCAAGTATCCTTGATTTATTTTCTGTTATTGATTTATATACAAGCTTCACTTGCCATGAATGCTTTTTTAATATTCACTAAGCTTTTAATATTTAAGTCTATAAGCATTTTATTCTCCAATGATTTTGTACATGTCCTTATTTAAGTTTGCCATATTTTCAGGAATCCTGTCCATACAATGATAGCATGCTAAGAGCCGCTAGTCTATTGTAGGGGTCTGGTTGTCGGGTGACATTTAAGCATGAAGGGCCAATGACTGGTACAGATGCTTTGTCCAAACTGCTCCTTAATGAGGGGCATGGATGACTAAGCAAGCTGGGTTTTCTGTTACTGATTATTTCACCTAGCAACTTTTCCTTTTGGGGCTTTTATGGAATGGACAGACAGGTGATTTGAGCCTGTTACAAATGCCAGTATTGGAGACAGCTGGCTCTGGGAAGCCTCCTCCACATATACACATGCACTTAGGGTCACTAGGTCTTCCCTGATAGATTGCTCAGCTTCAGAGGCCATTGCTGTTCTCCCCCTCCTTTTATTATCTTTACCTGTCTGTTAAGACTACTTTGTGAGACTAGAGGGATGGCTGCCCTTCCAGGGGACCTGGGCCCAAATACCGTCACGGACATGACAGCCCACAACCATCTGTAACTCCAGTTCCAGGAAATCCAGTGCCTCATCTGGCTTCTGCTGATACCATGCACACACGTAGTACCCAGTCATACATGCAAGGCAAAACACCAATACACATAAAATAAGTAATAGTAGCATTTTTAAAGCTTATAAAACATAGAATACCTGATGTGGAATAGCTTTCCCCTGGGTGAACTTTTGTCTGCCTTTTGAACTGGAAGCTGTAGTCAGTGCCTGTCTTAAGAACAGGGTGGCTTCGAGTCCCTTGTGTCTCCAGAGAACAACTGAAGAACACTGCACTTCTAACTACTGACCTGGAATATCCTGTCCGTGCCTCTCATGGTTATTGCTGCCGCCATTATGAAAATAGGAATATTTGAGGATTTGGAGAGAATGAGGAAGAAAGTAAAGATGTAAATACCCTAGGGCTCCACTGGTCTTGGAGTTTATCTGGGTCAGGTTATATTAGGTGAGCACCTTTCTGAAAAGTAGAAATAGCTCCTTGTGGGTTAAAAGGCTATAGTCACTCAATCATACATTGGTGAAGTTCAATACAAATTAATAGTGACATTAAGCCTTACTCTGGGCTAGTCTTTGCTAAGTTCTTTGCAGGCCCCAAGGTGAGGAGGGTGGCACAGTCAAAACACTGGATCACAGCAAGGCTATGTCCTCCGTCCAGAGTGTCCCCGCAGCCCAATTTCCAGTGTGTGTGCTGCTCTCCACACTTGCCCAGCATCAGCTCTTGTGGAAGGAGCCTGGGCTCTACTACAGAACAGAACCTAGTTAGCTGCTCTTTCACTGTTCGGCAAGACATCATTTTTAAACAGGCAGGTTTATAAAAGGAGCTATTTATTCTTTCTAATTCTCCCATCTTGGGTTTGTGAAAACATCTAGCATATTATCTGTGACATAACTTGGAAATAAGAGCTGCAGCCTGTGATGCTTTTTCCTGAGAGAAGTTCTCAGCTCTGTGTAGCTAGATGAATGGACATTCTAACACTCCTTAGCATTGGGCCCCCCTCCCCCACTCATAGGATGGAACCAGATGTGGCTGAAGAAGATAGGGCTTGTAGGCTTCTTGTGCGAATGCTCTCTCCTGTACAGGAAGGAGGGTAGATAGGGTAGAATTCAGGCCCTTAGTGTGTACATGGAGATCCCAGTCTCTTAGGGGCATTTTCCTAAGGAACCAGGTCCTTGAGATGGGATTAACGTAATTTCCATACCTGGGCTAATTTAGGATTGGGAGGCAGAGCAAGCAGATATTATTGACTGCTAGAATTTTTTTGTCTTTAAAAGCATAATTTTGCATGCCCTTTTGTTAGCATCTGTTACCATGCACAGCTGTTGGTAAACTAGTACCCACCTCTTCCTTCTTTGGTTTCAATTTCTTGGGCCAGTAATATCACAGCCCACATATAGTAAATTCACAGGTAGAGTCTGGAGTCCGTGTGCCTGGACCAAAGTCCACCTTCACTCCTGTGTTACTGTCTTCTTGGGCACTTTGTGTTTATATCTTTGTGCCACATTTCCCCTCATCCGTAGGATGGGGGGCGGGGCTAGTGTAATTATTTTCATGGTAGGGTTTTCAGCAGGATTGAATGAGCTGGCTGCAGCCAATGTAAACTATCGTATGGTGGGGCATGGTGTTTTAATATGCAGAGGCATTCTTTCTGTCAGTTTCTAGCCATTGTTACCTTCTCTGATGTTTGTTTTTCAGTGAAGTCTGCCAATCATTAGTGAAACACAGCTCTGGAATACAAAGAAACTTACCGCTCCAAAAGCTACATCTGGTTTCACGAAGTATTTATCGGTCACATCATCCCACCCTAAAGCTTCAAAGACCCCAACTAAGGACATCATGTCAGCAGTTCTCTTCTCTAACTAACCTTCCTTTACATAAATTAAAACTTTCTCCTACTAAATATGGCTACCAGCCCCGCAGGAACTTTTGGCCAGCAAGGTTAGCTGCAAGGCTTTTAAAACTTCGATATATCATACTGGGATCTGCTGTTGGAGGTGGCTATACAGCCAAAAAAGTAAGTTTGCTTTCTTACTATGGTTCTAAGTATTCCAGAATATCATACCTTGCATAGCATAGAAGAAAGAAATAGTTAGTGTATATTTACAAGGTCTTAGGTTGTTTCAATGGTGCCATTTAAATATTGACTATAATTGTAGATGATCTGGGAGATGGGGCCCTTGTCTGTGAGTAAGAACACTTAAATTTGGTTCTGGACATTGCTACTGAGTAGCACAGGAGAGAGTCAGGTGGCATGTTCACAGGGCTACTTCTGAGAGCCCTGGATCCAGAGGCAAGCTGACTTCTCCCTGATCCATCTTCCTTTTGCTTCATGGTGTTATTTAATGCCAACTCGAGCCATGTTTGACATAGGAATGTTTTGAGTTTTACATTTCCCCCATTTGATAGAATATTTACTTTCATACTCACCTACTGATTTGTTCTTAAAAGACCTGGGCTTACATGAATTTGTTCCATAAATGTTCTGTACATGATACATATTCTAGAAGATTGTGTTCATCAGCATGCTTTCTCTTTATATTGGTATATGGCATTTAGAATGTCTGATTGACATGTGTTCTTGTCTTTTAGACCTTTGATGAATGGAAAGATATGATACCAGACCTTAGTGACTATAAGTGGATTGTGCCTGACTTTATATGGGAAATTGATGAACATATTGATTTGGGTTTGTATCATCAACATTAAAAATAGCTTTGGATTGTGTTGGGCATATGTGAATAGAAATAGTTGCATTGATAGTTTTAGCTTTTGAGTTCAGTATGTGATCGTTTTGTTTTAATAATGAAAGTAATAATTGTTAAAAACTTAATTTTTATAACATATTTACGTGTGTGGGTGTGCATTACACACTTGTATGCACTCACATGTAGATGCACATGTACATGCCAAGGCATGCACGTAAATGTCAGAAGACATTTTGAGGGAGTCTTTTATAATTCAAAGGGATCCTATGGGTACAGGGACAAACTCAGGTTGACAGGCCTGGTAACAAGCACTTTCACCAATAAGCCATTTTGCCCAGTCAGACGGAAAAAAGTATGGGACTAAGTACCCAACAGTCTGTCATTTTAACTTGGCTGCCACCACTCTTATGAACTATTTTCTTTTGGTTTGGCTTATTAGTTGAATGTGGCTAACATTTTGGTTTTTATTTAAAAGTTATATAGTCACGGGGGTATGTAATTTGGTGCTTTGTATTTCGCTGCCTAGCACATCCTCTCTGCATTTCCATGCTGCTGGCAGCCTTTCCAAACGCCATTTTCAGTATTATGCAATATTGCTTGCATCCTTCATAATAGGACCCTAACCAAAACCCCTCTCTGGTTAGCTACCTTAGTTATTTATACTTTATGCAGCCGAGTTTCTTAAAAGCCTGTTAGTGTGCAAGGTGGCTTCACCTCTTAACCACCTCCCCTTTGAAAAGTAGGTAAGAACAGCAATAGCTGATTATCAATAACTCATGATGAGCTTAAAAATTTTGAAGTATTTCCTTCAGTCCCTTTTTAAGACATTTGGAGGTGGAATTAATCTGCATAAGTGTTTCATCATAGTACTTCTTAAAGGCAACCATGTTAACTAAGGTATTTTTAGGAAAGGGATTCATTTTTTATAAAAGAATAAATGTTAGTACTGTGCAACATAATGTATTTATGTGCCAGTGTCTCAGAGTAGTGACTGAGAGTCTGGATTTTGAGCTGCCTGGTCCTGAACCCCGATTCCCTTGCTTCCTTGCTGTGTGCTCTAGATTTTCAACTATAGAAGAGTCAACAGGACAGACTGGCTTGAGGTTTAACATGTTTATAGCCCTAATATGTTTGCTGTATCCTACTGTGAGACTGCTTATGACTCCTGTTTGGTCTTCTCTAGAGAAAATTAGAAAAGCCCTTCCCAGTTCAGAAGACCTTGCCAAGTTAGTGCCCGACCTGGACAAGATTGCAGAAAGCCTCAACCTACTGAAGGACTTCTTCACCGCAGGTAAGGGCCCTTTTCATCTGACTGCAAGGGTTAGGAGCCTCGGGAGAAAGACATGGGTGCTCATATTTGCTCTTATCTTCTAAATTAAAACATTTTAAAACAAACCCTAAAGCGTTTTGTTTTAACAGAAGATAAACATAAAGTTTACACAATACTTTTAATCATTAGCCTAATCAAATGAAAATGTGTAAGAAAATGTGTGCTTGGCTTTTAGTCGGTGAGTAAGAAATTATTGTTTCTTGACAAGTAGATGAGACTACCTATGCATTTGCTTTTCATAACTGCTTAGAGCCAATATTGTCACTTTAAAACAAATTTAATAATTATAGATCATATATGGTACAATTTATAAGGTTTATCCTGGCGTATTTGCCCAAGTGTTGCCCTGATATAAGTCTGAGATTTCAGACATCTTTGCTTATTCTTATTGAATTTTTATTTCCCCTTTTGCTGATTTTTCACAGGTCACAAATTGGTTAGTGAAGTCATAGACGCTTCTGGCCCACTTCTCTTGTTAGGTGTGTAACCAGACATTTTTGCTGACCTTAACATGCCTTTTAAATGCTTCTAATAAACTAGTCACAAATAAAATTGCAGACCAAATTTATAATCTGCTTATATATGCTGATCTTTAAACCCAGAACTGTATTAGGCAAACTTATATCCTTTTGGTGGAAACAATAAAAGAATTACATTTATGACAAAACTAAAATTGCTAAATACTTGACAAAATTATTAAAATAAAATTTGCTTAAACAATGTGTTTTCTTAGAAGAAATTATTTTTGATAATTGAAATGAAAAGTAATTTTAGCTTGTCTCATCTGCCCTGTCATAGTGACATTTAAATTTGTTTTGTATTATGTACATTGTCTGATGGCAGGGGTACTTGGCTAAATGTAAGTACTCCCTTGTTTAAAAAAAAAAAATCCTTACAAAAGATTATAACTTTCATTTATACTTTAAAATGAATTAATTTTTAAAATTTATAACATTGGTTGCCAGTAATTTTCTTAAAATTGAAACCATATTCTTTGAGCCTTGTTTGGTTTTGTTTGAGCCACGACCTCACTATTGAGCCCAGCATCCATCTCCTGAGCACTAAGCACTTCTGGCCTGTCTGAGTTTGTTTTGGCTCGGTTTCATTCCGCAGTGTTGGGATCCAGTGCACACTAAGCAAGCACTCTGCCACTGGGCATATCCTCAGTCTCCCCATCCCATCTACTTTTTAATTGCTTCGATGTAATTTGGAATTTAGTTGGGCTGTTGACATCACTGGGGAATTTAAAGAACTATGTGTTTACCTTTAAGGTTCACCTGGAGAAACAGCATTTAGAGCAACAGATCATGGATCCGAAAGTGACAAACATTATAGGAAGGTAAGTATGGAGTCCTGAAAACCTTGACTTTTCCTTTATTTTTCAAATACTTGAAAATGCTAATCCATTACTAGAAAACATAAAAAAAATGTATGCTTACTAAGTGACAACGCAGGTGTTAATGCAGCAGCTCTGGAGTAGAATCTTGGATGACCGCCCCCTCTGGTTACGCTTTGTGAAATAACCATTCCAAGGTTTATTGTAAAATGCGTGTGTGAAAAGCTGGTGTAGACACTTTAAGCAGTCTTCTCTTTCTTGGGACTTCACAGACAAACATATATTCATACATGTTCACAGATCTCCAGAAGGACTTGGGATGTAAAGAGCATGCCAGATTTATGTATATAACATATATTCATACATATATAACATATCCATACATGTTCACAGTCTTTAAAAGGACTCAGAATGTGAAGGGCATACCAGATTAATGCTCAGAACCTACTTGCTGTTCTAGAAACGTAACGTTAGTTTAGGGGAAAAGATATGAGAGAATAGAAAGTGAGTTATTAGTGACTGAGTCAATCCATATAGATTGAGAATCTACATGGCTGTGTATGGATGAGTCCATTGAGAGTCAATCGGTTTTAATACCTTCTCAGACAAATCCATGTGAATATTATGGAACAGGTATTAACATGAGTTATTCTGCATTTCTAGTTTATCATCTGCTATTACATCCTTAGTTTTTACTTTCATGTGAAAGTACATGTGAAGTTTTGTAAAAATAATGCCTCGATAAATAAATTTATAAGCAAAATGTTCTATAAACATTTTAAGTTAAATATGAACTGTGTAGTTTATACTGAATTGTAAAGCATCATAGAAAAGAAATAATTTTATGATAACTGAGCAGAAAGAAGAGATCATTTCTCTATTTCCATTTCTTTCAACTTGGACTTTTTTATGCTATTGCAAATTTTAAAGATATTTACAAGACTTATCTTCTTTTGCCTTTTAGGTAAAACTTACTATAAAATATATTTTTGCTTTCATTTTGATATGTTTTTAATACACATAATTTTAATTAAGGAACACTCTTGATTGTTTGTGCATCAGGTGGGATAGGGTTAGAAAATAGCTTATCAAATGTGACTACTTTGAGCCAGGGAAGCCTTGGCCAAGAAAGCCAAATACACATAATGTGAAGAGATGAAGTAATCTGAGACGAAGCCCTTTTGACAGGTACGCTTTTGCCTAAATCCATTAGATATGTCAGTGTCTGCTTTCTCACTGATACTGCGTTCGTATCACGTTAGTGAATGAAGAGCTGATTTTAGACTCGACTCAGATAAGTCCCCTAAACTCTGCCAAGATGATAAGTGAGTGATCTATAATTGACCTCTGCAGTATAGATGAAGCAAGGAAATGTATCTTTGGGAATTTAATTATTCTTGTAGACTTGGCTCTTCAAGACATGAAAATAAGTTTATTGCTTTTTTTTTAATGTACTCCTTTGTTTGACAGTAAATGTCCCTTATAGCCTCTTTCCTTTAAACTTCTTCTTAATCAACAGTAATAACATAACACTATTAAAACTTACTACTGGGGCCAGAGGTATGCCTCAGTGTTGAGGGTACTTCCTGGACTTCAGAGGATCCACACCAGGTGCCCTCACCTGTAACTCCAGTGCCAGAGGGTTCGGCATCCTCTTCTGGAGTCCTTAGGTACTGGACTCACTTGTACATTTCCACATGCAGATGCGCATATATATATAATTTTTAAATGTTTATTAGATTGTTTAAGCTTACCAATTTTCCAGTGATTTATTGTATATACTAAGTCTAGAATTGTACCTATGCTGCTTTTAATGCAGGTTAAATCAAATTATAGAAAATGCTAATCAGGTAAAAACATGTCTAGTTTTCAGTTCTGCTGATATTCAGTGTTATTTCTAAGGTTTAACTCTTGCCTGTGATAGTTGAGAGTCATGTAAGCCGTATTGACAAGATACAGATAGTTGGTGTGATTTGATAACCTTGCCTACAAAGAGATATCTGAATATCATCATGCAAGGAGACTTGAGCTGGTAGTTGGGCCTTGTTGAGATCATTCAGACATCAGTTTCTATTTGCTTATTTATTTATTTAATGTGTGTGGGTGTTTTTCTTGTGCACTACCTGTGTGCCTGGTACCCATAGAGGCCAAAAAAAAAAAAGGTGTCAGATCCCCTAGGACTGCAGGTAGAGTCAGTTGTGAGCTGCTATGGGAATCAAACCTTTACCCTCTAGAAGAGCTCCCAGTTCTCTTCCGCGGCTGTCTCTCTAGCCCCCTCAGATATCAGTTTTAAAGACTTGAGTGATTGGCCAGGTATGGTGGCACACTCCTTTAATCCCAGCACTTGGGAGGCAAAGGTAGGCAGATCCTACCTCTACCTCTGTGACCTTGAGACTAACTACTTGCTACAAAGCAAGTTCCAGGGCAGCCAGCACTGTTACACAGAGAAACCCTGTCTCAAAAAAAAAAAAAAAAAAAAAAAAAAAAAAAAATGAGTGATCATCAGAAGTGTTAGGATGACATCCAGAGTTTCTACGGTTACCCTTTAGTTGGTTTAGTCTTGGCTCTTAAGATGTACTCAGTAAGATTATATTCTGAGCAACAGCCATACCAGCCTGAATGTGCCTGATTCCATCTAAGTTGTAGTGAGGGTTTGGAGCAGTCATGCTTACATTTAATGGTTGTCGGGTTCATGGTTGTGGTTTCTGACAAGACTCCTCTACTAGAATAATAAATGCAATGCAAAAGTAAATGGAATACTTTTCTGAAACTACAACTGAAATGAAGATCTGTCCTTTCTAATAGGAGAGCACAAATGGGAAAGTCTTGGCAGGAGAGGAACAGTTAGGACAACTCAAAGCCAGCTGAAAGTAAAGGGAGTTGAGGGGACACAGATAGCGTGGCCTAAGTCAGAATGAACAACACGATGACCTGGTGGCTTCCTGTCCTGAGCTCACTAGACTTGGCTGTGTCTGGAGCATTACAGTGGAGATCATCAGAAGGCACAGAAGGCATATACATTGCACAGTCTGAACAATCATCCCGTTTCTTTGCTTATACCTTAACTTATATTATTTAGATTTTGGACACTGTTTATTCTGTGTTGATCAAAAGTTCTAATGTGTCTTTGTCAATAAACATTAAAAAAGGGTAGTAAATTCTCATTTAGCTTAAACTATATAGTAATACTACTTTATAATAAATGGTTGTGTTAATCAAAAGTTTAACACTTGGAAAAAAGTTTTAAATTTTTATTCACTGGAAGAAATATTCATGTGAACTTAGTAAAGTCCTTGGGATCTGGAGAACTTAAAACTTCAGAAGTCAAATTAGGAACTGGACAGGTAAGCCTGTTTTAGTGAGTGAGTGGACTCGAGATTTTTTGGTAAGCCAGCACCACCAAGTAACCACAGGTCTGAAGAATTCTTTTCCTGCGCAGCTAGCAGCTGCAAGTATAGATTAGATTATTCTTGGCAAGAATGCACAGCACTTGTATACTTAGTAGATCAGAAACAGAATGATCAGAAGAAAAGTAGGGGAATTGGCCCTGAGGAAAATGGAATGACTAAGCAGACAGCCTTACTGCATTGCCTAATAAGAAGCATGCTGCATGTTTATGTTATTTAAGAAATACTATGAGCATGTATCAATAAATTATACTGTTGTAGCTAGACGCTTAGAAACAACAAAAAATAATGGAAATTATACTTTTGGTAATTACTGATAGCCATTTTATTTCTCTCTTAAAACTACTTGTAGAAAATGTTCAAGTAGTAAAATACATAGAATGTTATTTCTCATTGGAGCAAATTAAATGATCCACAGTGGGAAGACATTTCGTTTTGACAAATTTTGCATTCATAAATATCTTGAGCAGTTATATATTAGGAAACCAGTTGTTTTTAGTGAAACAAATTGCAGGATTATTGAAAGTTTGGAAAGTTGTACTGAGGAATATTACCTAAAGTTCTTTTACTAAACCAAAACATTTGGCAAACATTATCTTTGGGTCCCAATGTTAAATACTTTATTTAGGTTTGCAGACCATAATTTTTCTATCAGCTACTTGCCTGCCCACTGTAGGCTGCTAGCTCTGCTCTGCAGTAGTCTAGATATGACTGCCATTGTGCTCTTTGAAATGCAGGTAGATTCTAATGGGTCAAAGGCACTTTGGGAATAGCTGTGTACTATTACTGGGTAGAACTAATGCAGACTTTGGAATCTAAACTGATACAAATTGTTTAGTTTATCTGAGTTCCTCATTTCCTCTGTTGGAAAAGGAAATCAGTCCCCTTTAAAGATTATGAGAAGTAAATAGAAATAAATGGAAAGCTATTAAGAATTAAGGGAACAATGAGAACATGCTGTGAGTTAATTTCTTCTCCTTGGTTTTTTATGAAGCCTTTTGGAGATTGTGAAAAATGGGAAAATGATTTGTAGGACTGACCTTGTAGCTTCTAAACAGTTTTAGAGTTTAAATTATCTTTAACTAGAAACTTCAGGTGATTTATAGGTAAAAGTCAGCTGTGTTTGACTCAAACAACATGTGCTAACCCCAGCTCTCTGTGGGTGTTAACACATCTCAGATGTCAGACATTATTTAAGGTGCTAGATATTAAAATAAACAAAGTGGAGCATATCTATGGTGCCAGCCACTCAGGAGGCTGAGAGAGGAGGCTTATTGGAAGCCAGACCTTTGACACCCATCTGGGTAGCATAGCAAGTGAGGTAATTATCTTAGCTTTATGAAAGATGGATTACAGGTGGACTGTAAACAACAGAAATGTATTCCTCACAGTCCTAGAGTTGGGATATAAGAGTAAGTAAGATGCCAGCAGGTGTGGTGTGTGGTGAACACTGTTCATCTATGTGCCAGGGTCTAGGCAGCTCCAGGCATCTCTTTTACAAGAGCACTTAACCTGGAGGCCCTGAGTTTGAGACCACCTTGTCTGCATAGCCAGCCAAACTTATATGGTGAGACTTGTCTCCAGAAATAGGGAAGTTCTTTTGTTTTCTGATAAATTATAGAAAGTAAATTATAGAAGTTACCTTCTATATTTGTTCATCGTAATCATTGCGATTTGTAACAGATACTGTGATTTATATTGTTTCTTGAGATGAAAGAGTTCAGGCTCAGGAGAGTTGCTGGCAAAACTGTGTTTGGTAATCTGTGTGTCTGGTCCATCTGCCTCTTGGCTCTTGTTCTCCGTGCTCAGAGACTGGCAGCTGCACAGTTTATTATTTGGTTCTTAAAGTTGGGGGAAAGTCACCATAAGATGCATAGCATAGTGTAAGTAGGTTTTTTTTTTTTTTTTTTTTTTTTTTTTTCTGTGTCTAATTCTTGTTTTCTCCAATTTTTTTTAGGAGGTAACAGTTAATTTCACCTATCTTCACATAACAGTGCTTCAGTAACAGACTTGGAAGGAAAGTGAGGTGTCACTAGAAAGTATTTGCTGGTAGTCCCATAGATATTATCATATTAACTATTCAGTCCTGTGTAGTTATAAGCAGTGATTCAGGGTGGGGTAGTTAAGCTAAGTCAAAATTACTTGGCATTTTATAAGTTAAAGTATTAGTGGTATGTAAATATTAACAGCTCTACTACCAGGTATGTCCCACCTTTTGACACTGGCACTGGTTGTCATTTACAAAGTTCACACTTGAAAACTGCACAACTGACTTTTTAAAAAAAAGTCAAACAAATAGAATGCTTGAGTGAGTCTGTGCTGCCTGTGGGCCTTGGGTTGGACACACCTGCAGGCTAACATAGGAAGCCTTCTTAAAGAAAAATGTTTGTGTCATCTAAATCTTTGGATGATTATAAAACATGGAAGATAAATGTGCTAGTAAATAACACTGTAAATTACTTTTTGTTGTTTGATGTATGAAATGACAAAAATGATGAAAATAATTAAGATAGTTGGCAGTGACTGACAAAATTGTCAATGATCATAAAACTACATATATACATACATATGTATATATCTTGAAAGATAACAGTGAGTTTTATAAGTCCCTTTTGTACTATTGAATCTGGAAACAAACGTTGACATTTCTCTTGTCAACTGCTTTCACCCTTTGATTTGCTGCAAATCAGTCAGTTTTACTCATTGTCTGATACAGTAATCATGGTATCAAAACTAAGAATGAAACAAAATTTCTCAAATTTTCTATCAATTGTTCGATAATTTAAAATGTTTTACTGAAATGCAAGCCTCTACGCACCCCACCCCCCCCCAGGATTATGAATAAGAACCCTTCTTATGGTTACCTGAATTCTTGGGTTATATAAGGTAAATTAAGTAAGCTTTGTACAAACTAAAATTTAAATGTCCTGTCAACCATCATTTTTTAAAGAGACTTTCTAATGATATATAACAGTATTTTTGACAATTATTTTTTAAAATCTGAAGCTTTTTAAAGTACTGGTTTAGGTAGTTTTAGTAATTAGTAGCTTTCTTGCCTTTAGTGTTATGACTTGGTAAGTCTGAGCCCATTGTTTTTGAACATACTACACTGTTGAAATTGATTATTTGTTGTAACTTCGCCATTTTAGTTTTTCTGATTGAGAAAACATCAGTCTGCTAACACTGTTGATTCTTAGTTGTCCTTTTCTTCACTTATCTCAAGGTTGGCTATCTCATAAGCCAGCAAGTCACAACACAAAGGGGTCCTTAGCTCAGTAGGCAGCACAGAAGGCCACACGTGGTTTAGAATTATGCCACATGTGAACACAGTGTTCTCACAGTGTACCAGCTTAACCTTTAATGATTGAGTAGAGTCAGTGTTACAAATAAAATTTACAAAGGTAATATCATCCAGCTGGATTTTACTTTCTAGTTCTCATGATAACTATATCATCTCTGTATCTTAAATTTTAATTGGTATGTGCTCAATTGCTTTCTCAGAGGCTATTCTATTTTATGTCAAAATACTCCTAGAAAGTGAAAATGCAGTCAACCTGGTTATGTAATGTTTCAAGTCAACAATACACATTAGTTAATACACATGGGCCAATTTTGTGAAGAGTTTTACCAAGAAATTGAGGGGTCTGCCATGCTGTCTTCCCTGAGCATACCCATTACTCTAGTTTCACTTTGTGTTGACATTGTCTGGCTGGTTGTTAAGTCAGCAGTCACTGCACCTTCATGTTCACCATGCTATTTGATTTTTCTGCTATGCCCAGTTTTACTGAGGGGAAAATGGAACGGCAGTGCAGAGCCCATCCGTGGGATGGCACTGTGGGTGCATGAGTTTCCATTTTTTGTTTTAAGCTATCCATTCTTCCCCGGCTTGCATCTGTTCTTCTGTTGTACCCTTTGGTTTAACATTGTTCTCCTCCCCAATTTTCCTCTTCTCCTCACTGTAAACTCATGGCAGGGTCTGCTTGGTGAGCTCATTCTCTTACAACAGCAAATTCAAGAGCACGAAGAGGAAGCACGCAGAACCGCTGGCCAGTATAGCACGAGCTATGCCCAACAGAAGCGCAAGGTGATGGATGGTTTACGGGGGCTACTGATGCATCACACTAATCAGCCATTTCTGCCAAGATCATGTAACCTTTATCGGTTGGTGGACTCCAGCTTTGGGAAATTATTTTTAACAAATTAAATTTAAAAGATACATCATACCCCCTAAAGTGGGTAGTGTAGACAAAGCTCAAGTGTAGGAATTTAGGTTTGGAAAATTAGGTTATCTGTGAGTGTCCATGGATTTGTATTTAGGATGAAACCCTGAATTGTTGTTTATGTGGTCCAGTTGGATACTGAAACCATCATGAAGTCCTTAAAAGTGTTAAAAGTGTTAAAGCCCCACAGGTTGGTCCCTGTATTCTGTATAGACTTTTATCACAGTGAAGCAAGTATAGTGATTATGCATTTATATGCAGCTCTTAAACTAATTATATCACATTACTTAGATCAGAGAAGTTTTAAAACTATGTACAAATGTTACCCAAGAGGAAAGAATCAGTCATATATAGTTAGCTTCTTGTTTGCTCCTACATCTAAATCAAGGACTATTACAGATACAGACTCGATACAATGCTTCTACTGGCTAATCTTAGTTGTTGTTAATGCTTGAGAGTGTTCATCATCATAATTACTTCCATGTTCATTCACTGCCACTTCCTTGTTTTTCTCAATTCCATGGCTGTGCAACCAACAACTAACTGTATATTATTCAGTTTTCAGTGAGTGAATAAAATAAGTAGAAGAAGAAATCAAGTTATGTCGTCTTTGTGGTTAAAGTAGATATCTTGACTTTAGGAAGAACTTATTTTAAATATTCTCTAATTCCATATGTTGTGAGCACATCATTCACTGAGCCATCCACACATAGGTTTGTTATAGAAGGAAGTGGAAGGAGTTTGTGTGTTCTGGAATGTTAGAAATATGAATATAGTGCCAAGTGCAATTTGGTCTTTTTTTCATAGTGGTAAGATAGAAATGAAGCCCATATGTCTGCCATGTTAAGATCTAAATTTAAGATTATACCAACATGCTTCTAATTCTGACCTTTCCAGTGACAGAAGTACTAAGTGCTGGCTGGTTGTCTACGATAGCAGTCATGCCTGCTTTACAAGTCTTCAGACGTGAGGATATCATTCCTGTTCTATTTACTGGTCATTTACTCAACCCTTTTGTTCCCCTCTTTGGGGTTTATGAAGTAGAGTGACAGAACTGTGTTTCTGTCTGGCTTGTTTATAAAGGATCACTTAGTGGACCACAAACCAGGGCTTGTCCCTGCCCAATGTGGAGTTGCCTTGTGTGAATATTAATGGGATATGAAAAATAATTTATGCTGTCCCGTAAAGACACCATCCTGCTTTCCTGAAAGCCCAGTGCCATGTTGTGTCTTCTTTCTTCTATTCCCCTGTGGTTATGACAGAGATGTCATCAGTTCAAATCTATGTCCCTGACATCATCATTCCAGGCATTTGAGGTTAGCAGGAGACCTAAAGTAAACCATGGGCACTTTTAATTTCTTTAAATATTTATTTCTCTATTCTTGAAGAATCTAACTAGGTCTTTAATTTTTAGTATTTTGTTAGAAGTAAAAATTTTGCCTATATTTTCTGAGCAAAAGAGATCAATAGAGGTTGTTAGTCATTTCATCCTATGAATATGTCCAGATATAATTTTCCAGCGAGTCTCAGATACACACTTGACTATTTCAGAACAGCCACGGTGACCTCCTAGGAGGAAATAAGTTCTAAAGTCAGTGTTGTTCTCAAGAGGAGCTGAGGTTCTCTTTTACATGCGCTCATTTGTGCAGAAGATCCCTCCCTTTCTCCCTCAGTTTCACAGCCTTGGAATTGTGGAAAAGCTCTGGTTCAAGACCATTAGTTTCATTCCTGTCAGGGTGACGTTAAAATGTATTGCATAATAAGAACTAAATACATTACACAACAGAGCATGAGTCTCATGTTGTAAGTAGCTGAGCTTTACCAGTAAAACCATTGAGTTGTCTAGTAGGGGTGGGGATGGGTATAGGCTTCGCAAGCATGAGGATCAGAGTTCAATCCCCAGAACCCATGTAAACATGTCAGGCATGGTGGCACTCTTGTAATCCCAGTGCTGGGGAGGCAGAAGTGGGCTCTGTGGGGCCTAGTTTAATTGAAGAGCTCTACAGCAAGGAGGTGTGTAGGGTCCCTGAAGATGACACCAAACTACTGCCTCAACATGCAAGTGTATGCACATTAAAAAAAGAAGGAGAAGAAAATAGCTAAAATAAAGGACAGAGTAGAAGAAGCTCTTGCTAGTCTCTTAAGAAAAGTGTAAAAGTTACCTTCTCACTGATCTTTAATACTTGGTTTTATAAACCTAAAATGTTTTATTCTGTATCTTAGGAAAACTGTGAGATCTGTTTTTACTCTGTCACCTACCTTAAAACATTAATTTTGATTCTTATTTAATAAAGCAGCGAGGAAGTACACCATTTTGTAATATTTTCATTAATTGTTCTGACTTCTTATGTAGTTTTTTTTTTTTTTTTAACCCAACTATTAAGTTAACCTTTTACAGCTCTTGGCTTATATTAACATTTTAACATTTTAATTTAATTATACAGTTTCTTAATTATTTTCCCATATGCTAGGTAATGGATTTTTTTTATAGTAATTCAGAATATGTTGCAAGAAATCACTCAGTTTACATTTAAAACTAAAACCAAAACAAACTTGATCCTAGTGGCAAATAATAAACATTTAATCCCAGCACTTGGGAGGCAGAAGCAGGTCGATCTCTGTGAATTCAAGGCCAGCCTGATCTACATAGTGAGACCCTGTCTCAAGAAAAATAGGAAAGCAAAAACAGTTGAAAGTAGTGTTTATATATCTTATTGTAAATTCACTACAGTTGAATGGATATTTAGTGGAAGGAAGTAAATCCCAGAACCTTTGAAATGAGTCACGAATTTAATCTGCACCACAACTTCCTATGCTCATACATTACTGAATGATGGCATGCCCTATGATTGTAATACGGGGTGGTGTGGTTCTTCATTGGTCTTTTAGCCTTTGTTCTTTGGGTTGTGGGCTCTTCAACTTGCCTGCCTCCTCATGCTTTAAGAGACTTAATAGTTCTTGTCCAATCTACCGGAGCATAAATAATCAAAATGGAAAAATAGATTACACCAGCAAGTCTCTTCTTACCACTTGAGATTAAAAACAAAATTTTTGTCACAAATTTTGTAGCATGGACAAGATTTTATTAATGTCTACTTCAATTAAAAAAGTGTCATTTAAAATCTGATGAAGACAATTCTGTTCTGTGAAGAAATCAGTGCACAGTTACATGCCTCATACATGACATTGTTCTCATTGTATTTTCTGCTTATAATTGTATTGTGACTACTTTAAATTCTATTATACAATGAAATCTGGAGACTTTTAAAAGTTTGTCTTAGAACTAGTGATAACATTTTGAAGTAGTTTCCACAATACTGTAAATTTTATTTTTTATGTTCAAATCTGTTTTAGTTGCAAAACTTGTTTCATTTCTACAAATACATCTGCTCTGTTGAGAGTTAGCTGATGTTGCATTGAGATCGAACTTAAAAACAAGCCTCTGGCTCTGCATAACTTTCAAAGATTCCAGTTAGTCTATCCGTTGGTCATGCACATCACTCCTGATAGTGAGGAAGTTGAAAGTTTTTCTTTAGAAGGTTCACTGTGACCAATGAGCTTTGGCAGTGGCTATGAACAATGACTTGTATCTGGAATCCCCATGCTTGTGTCTGGAGAAAGAGCAGTCCTCTAGATGTTAGATTCCTGTGCCTTAGTACCAAACAACCTCTGATAGAGAAAGCCCAGATGGCCATCTCCGCTTTTTCTAACAAGTCTTTCATAACAAATGACTGGAATGCTGACAAGACAGTGACTCCTTGATGTTTCCATTTCATAAGACTTTGGTGACTGTTAACATTGATGAGTATAAGTATTTTTATTATCTTAAATACTCACTTGAGTTGAATTTTATTTTAAATGTTCATATAGTCTTAGCACTGCTTTACAACTTTAGCCTATTGTGTATTCTATGTAACCCTAAACCTAATCAACAAAAATTAATCTATTTTAAATATTTAGGTGTCAGACAAAGAAAAAATTGATCAACTTCAAGAGGAACTTCTGCATACACAGGTAACAGTGAGAGGTCCCAGTGCTCTTTTCCTTATGAGCTGCCGAGGCGGAGCCCAGGGCAGCATACCTGGGGGCAAGCACTCTGACACTGAGCAGCATCCCCAGCCCCGGGAACTTCTCTGGGGTATGGACAGTGGGATCCTTTTCCAGCAAAGTAAAAGTTGGAATACTTTCCACTAACAGTAATTTTTGTGTCTACAAAAGCTAATTTAGAAATAGGGAATAAGGAAAAAATCAAGTGAATAGCAGGTGAATTCATTTTGTAGAGATTCCTACTTTAAGTGATTTTTATCCTGATGTTAAAGATAATTATTGCAGGATAGGAATGGCCAAAAGTATTTGTCCTTATACAACCTAATGGTTACATTTTCCCTTTGCTAGGCTAAATATAAAATTTGAATTGAGTTTCATGTTTCTTTACTGAGTCCTCAGTAGCCTTTGCGTCTCTGCAACCTGAAATCAACATGAAACTTTTTCCTAAAGATAATTCTGGTGGTATAAGCCTATCACTTGGTTAATGATAAAAATGACTATTTAAAAATCACTTGTGTACAATGTAATGAGTACACGCCTGCCTTGCTGGTATAAGATTTGCCAGCAGCAGTTACTCTATATTACTAACATCTAATAATTAAGACTTAATTTTATAAGCCAAAAGGCATACTTATCATCTTGGTGTTTTTTTTTTTTGGGGGGGGGACATAAAAGAAGAAGCAGTCTAAATGAAATCAAGCAGCTAATATATTTCTGATTCATGGTTTTGCTTGATCTATTCTCGGAGTCCCGTGTGTAATTGACCCTGAGAACACTTGTGCTGTGACTGGCACCTGACTTTCTCCAGGCTTTTCTGCCATGAGTTATGACTAGTTAGCTCTACTTACTGCCCAGACCACTGCTCCCTTGCAGTGTACTCAATATACTATACCTTTAAAAGGGAAAATAAAAATTACTGTTCTCTGAGAGGGTGGTCCCTGGAGCCATAACATCACTATTCACTGGAAGCTTATTAGATACAGATTTTTAGCCCATCCTAAACCCACTGAGTCAGAATCTCTGGCAATGGAAATCAGTAATCTTTGGGGTATTTTTTGCAGTTCCTTTAGTTTATATGGTTTTGGTTTGGGAGAGGGTCTCACTATGTAGCTGACCTGGAACTCAGATCCTCCTACCATAGTTTCCTAAATGCCTGCTCACCATTAAACCCAGCTACAGTCTTTGTTTTTTTAAGGACCTTAAGGTAATTACGATACGTCTCAAATTTTGAGGGGTTTTTATTGTAAGTAAGTATGCCCAACCTTCTGACTTTGTAACACAACTTAGGTGTCTACAGAGTTCAACTGAAGAACCACACAATCAAGTTACAAAATGAAATCACACACAAAAGAATTTATAATGTTTTAAGTCGATTTCCAGTTTTGTGTGTGTCTGTATTCACAACTTTCCACAGGTTACACACACCTGTCAGCCCATTTGCACTTCTGGAGGATGGCTACAGGTTGATACTTGTATTAAGGAAAGAAAATGTAGATTCTCCAAATTGATTCCATATTTACAAGGAAATATGCCATGGAACTGCCCTGTAATTGTGCAGTTGTAAGCCACTTAGTGTTGATACTCTGTGTAAGTAACATGTACTGAGCTGTGCGGTTATCCCCATCAGTGATTCTCAGGTGAAAGAAATACACAGGCCGTATGCAAAGTTTTTAATTTTCATTTTAAGGGGTAGCAGGTGGGAATTAATCTTAATAATATATTTCACTTCATGCAGTGTGCCCCAAATTAGTATCATTATGACATGTGCTCCATATAGCAGGTAGCACACTATTTCAAGTGCTCAGTAACTATGGGTGGCTAGTAACTTTAAACAGCAAAAAAAATATTAGAATTTTACTAAATCCTTACAGGCCATAAATGAATGCTTTATTAGATATGATTAGGCTTAACTTATACATTCTATAATGATAGGACCTTGATTTCCTAAAATAGATCATTTTCTCAGGAGTTTAAAACCTAAAAAAAGTCTAAGAAATGTTTCCTGGATGTGATATAAGCTGTACGCCTAAGCATTCTGCTAATTATGGAGGAGTGTGATTTTTAATTTTCTGTAACAAAGGTGACAAATTTGAACAGCTCAACCTTGAAAAGCAAAGTATGTTGCTACTTTGAAATAATAACCCTAAATAATCTGATTTTCCTTTTTTGTTTGTTTGTTTTTCGAGACAGGGTTTGTCTATGTAGTTTTGGAGCATATCCTGGCACTTGCTCTGTAGACCAGGCTATCCTGGATGGAACTCAGAGAGATCCACCTGCCTCTGCCTCCTAAGTGCTGGGATTAAGGTGTACGCCACTACTGCCCAGCTCTAAACTGATTTTCTTAACTGTTTGTTTTTTATATCAGTATTTTTAAGTACAAACAAGCTTCTCCAGACATAGACTTTGACCAAAGTGAAGTTTAAGCCTTTTATTCAGACAGACCTGTTCAAATGCTCCTTCCTTGGTGGCCTTAGGACAAGCTAGCAGGTGTCGCTAACCTTAAGCTTCCTGTCTGTAAAACCTCTACCTCAGGGAGCTTTCTGTAAAGAGTTATCACACAATTCATGCACAAGTGTTACTCACTTGTGTTTTATGACATTAACATCTTTCTTAAAATAACGTCCAAATGAGAGTAATTTTAATTTTGACCAATTAGCCTTATATTGGAGACTTTATTTTGAAATTGTAGGAAATAATGTTTCTTAGGGTATAGTCCAGACTTCCTTAAGTTCTTAAATTTTTAGTATTTTTTAAATTATTTCTCCAGCATAAGCAAATAAATGTTTGAGTTAAATGCTATATTATAATGGAAAATTACGGATTTCACTGCTTGCTAATTTTATTTTCTCCCCATTGTCATGGGACATTTTTAAGTATAACAATAATTTAAGTGTAACTAGTTAAGTCATGTAACTTCAGAATTTTAGAAGATTTTAATTAGACTATTTATTTGTTAGCCTGTCTTTTTCTTACACAGTCATGTGCATTGTCTTGTTGCAGCTAAAATATCAAAGGATCTTGGAACGTTTAGAGAAGGAGAACAAAGAGCTGAGAAAATTAGTACTGCAAAAGGATGACAAAGGCATCCATCATAGGAAACTTAAGGTACTTTATCTTATTTTGGTAGTTCTCAGAACTTTGACATTTGAAATTGTGTATTAAGTAATAAATTTTTAGTTTATTTTCTTTTAAAAATACTATGTCTAAGCTGGGTGTTGGTGGCACACACCTTTAGTCCCAGCATTCGGAAGGCAGAGGGAGTCAATCTGTGAATTTGAGGTCAGCCTGGTCTACAGAGCGAGTTCTAGGACAGGCTCCAAAGTAGTACAGAGAAACCCTGTCTCGAAAAACCAAAAAAAAATTGTGTGTGTGTGTGTGTGTGTGTGTGTGTTTGCCTGTCTATGGGTGTTTGCCTGAATGTATGCCTGCATACCCCTTGCATGCCTGGTGCCTGTGAAGGCCAGGCACCTTGAAACTGCAGTTACGAATGGTTGGGTAAGCTGACATGTGGGTGCTGGGAATTGAACCTGGGTCCTCTGGAAGAGCAGTCACTGCTCTTAACCACTGAGCCATCTCTCCATCCCCTAAATGATAAATAATAATAATAATTTATGAGGTGTTTTCTCATCTTTTCAATTCTAGCCAATGTAAATATTTCATAAATTGAAGTTTCCAAATTCATCATACAGTGTGCCCATAAAATCTTCATATATTGAGATGACTTTCTTATGAATCTGTTTTCATAAAATACCTAGTTTATCTTCAAACTGCCCCAAATTAAGATTATTAGTTTGTTGAATACTTAAGTAATACTTGCCACTGTTGCCTCACTAATATTTCTGCTTCAGTTTGTCTTCAGTCTTGAAATTTAACACTTACTTTCCAAGGTAATTTTCTACTACAGCAATTAAAATCAAATTTTAAAAATAAGTGTATGTTGATGTTGTTGTCACCAATGTTGTTAATTACTAATATCAGTCAGTTAAGTAATACTATCACCGCAGACTCAAACCAGATGTGTTGACAGACTTTTAACTTGAAAGTTTAATGCTATCATCAATGTGTCAGAGTAAATTAACATGAGTTGCTGCAGCATTCCAGAACCATAGTGAATCATGGCACACCTCTAGAACCAAGATCCACAGATGTCATTCTAGTTTAATAAACATGGTTTAGTAGCTTTAACTCTAAATCCTCACCACCCAATGCACGAAAGCCTGACTGCCTTTACAAGTACTGATTGGATGCTGAAAAGTCATGCTCAAGCATTAGGAAATAACAGAGATTTACCTTAGAAACCTATTTTCCTCATAAGATATAATGGTAATGAAATGTGTGCACTTTTAGGCAGATGTAAGAACAGCTGTTTGGCATTTAGGTGTTTCTATGTATTAAGAGGCAAAACTATCCCTAAACTCTTATAATGTCCCCACCTTGCTATTAAGACTTACCCTTAGTAAATACTTGATGGTTCTCCATTTTTCTCCCTTAGATTTTTTACTTGACACTGTTGTATTCAGGATGTCATGCTCCATCAGAGAAAAGCAATCCAGGACATTTTTCCTTTACTCACATTGCAGCCTTTGCCATTCTTAGGGTACTTATTCTTAGGTACTGCTCTAAGAGCTTGTCCACTCAGCCACATCTGTCCTTGTCCCTCAGGCTCTCACATCCGTGTGCTTCCTGCCCTCTCTTCACTCTGTCATGGCTTTCCTGCTTTTGACCCTCTCCCCCTCTCCTCTGTTATTCTCAAGCACCCTAGACTGACAGTAATTTCTGTCAGTTGGTCACCCGACCCCTTATCTGACTTTTATGTAGTAGTTAGCTCTCTCCCTTTTACCATCTAATTAGATTATGAAATCCTAAATTAATGATCCTAAATTTTTATTATTCTAATAATAAAATATTTCTAAATAAGCTAAAGAAGTAGAATTTTTATTCTCATACTGGTTTTCCTATGAAAATATTTACGTAATTAGAAAAAGCAATGCAAATTTGAATTTGTCTACATGTTTCTCACTTGATGTATCTGTAGTCTTTTACTGTTTGACCCCTTTTCTATTTTTACTAATTTTAACTTATTTTCGTGCAGAAATCTTTGATTGATATGTATTCTGAAGTTCTTGATGTTCTCTCCGATTACGATGCCAGTTACAATACACAGGATCACCTGCCACGGGTAAGGGGAAAATAAACAGGACCTGCTGTCACCAGGACTGTGCCCTCCTGTGTCAACATAATTACTCCGTTCCAAGATAACTTCATCACTAAGCATTGCTTGGCTCATTATTTCCGAGACGATAAAAGCAAATATATGTGTTTTAAATAAAACTATCAGATATTTGCCACTATACTTTCTTTATGTTAAAAACCCAGGCAAAAATTAAATATGTGGATGAAATTTAGCCTAATAGAATCCAAAGTGTGTTAGGAAAATGTACAGTGGCTGTGGAAAATATTTGTGAAAAGTTAATGATCGAGCTTTAGAAATAACTCTTAATTAGCATAGTTTTCAAAAATAAAAAAAAATCACTTCTTTTGGCTATAAATATCTTAAAAGATGTTTTTAAATTATGTCATTCAAACTCTACTTGCATTTAATTTGATATCAGAAAAATACAAATAACTGCTGTCTGTCTTGTGATTAGGTTGTTGTGGTTGGAGATCAAAGTGCTGGCAAAACAAGTGTGCTGGAAATGATTGCCCAAGCACGGATATTCCCACGAGGATCTGGGGAGATGATGACACGTTCTCCCGTGAAGGTAGGAAAGAAGCCGTCTCACTGAAGGAACTTAGAGAAGGCACCGCTTCGTGTAAAACTAAAGGCTTGGCGTACTTATTTCACTGAAGCAAGAGGGGCTTCTTACACAGTGCTTGGAAGGGTTCCCCTGGAGGAATTAGTGGGAGGACAGCCAGGCGCACACATGCGCAGAGCTGACAGCTCAAGTGAAGGGAGAGTGGTGGGAAAGGACATCCACGTGCAGTGGCTGTCTAGCTGGCACTGTCAGTCCTCCTGATGGTATCGGGAACAGGACACAGAGGCTGAGAGACAGAGTGAGGCTATTGGAATCAGCAAATGTAGATAATTTTCTATGGCCTTTTTATGCTGATTATCATGATCTATTAAGCTAAAAAAAAAAAAAAAAAAAAAAAAAAGGATAAACAGAAACACCGCAAGAACAAAGTCACTAAAGTAAAAGAGGCTTGTATCTTCATGCGTGCTCTCGTGTGTGTGTGTGTGTGTGTGTGTGTGTGTGTGTACTCATTGCCCATATATAAAACTACTAGCAACTGACCAGCAGAGACAGGGAGAAAATAAATGGCTGTAGACCCAAGAACTCTGCAGTCAAATCACCAAATAAGTAAGTGAATAAATAAATAAGGGGATAAGTAGATAAATAAATAACTCAGTCTTTTAATTAAACTTATTATTTAATTAATGTTGAAACACATTCATAGTTTTTCTAGGCCACAGTTCAGATATGTCTGACTTTAGATAGTGTGCAGTAAACTAAAGAAACTTCTTACCATAAGCATAATAAATGTCGAAATATTTATGCTATTTAGCATGTTAGAAATGGGGCCAGAGAAGTTCAGTGGGGGTGACAGGATGCTGTAGGTGGTATAGCTAAAGTGGCATTTGAACCAAGATTTAAAGAAAATGAGAGAAGTAGTCATATTGCAACCTGGTACATTTATGCTCCAAGCAGAGATGAGCTCGTGTGCAGTTTCTAAGGTGGTTGGGAGTAATCCTGTTTGAGGATAGGAAAAAGGCCAGTGTGATAGGCCAGTGAAGACTCCTCAGTGGATGGCAGGAATAAGCAGATCATTAGGGCCTGCTAGGCCAGTTTACAGAGTGTGTGTTTTGTCTTAAATAAAATGGGAAGCCAGTGAAGTCCTGAGTAGAGTCTTATTACCTTCTAAAATACTTTGGTGCTGTGTTGAAAATAGACGCTGGCAAGTGGGTCAGATCATGGAGATCAGATAAAGGGCAGTTTGATTAAATGATACTTGGACATGGGAAGTATTAATGAGCATGAAAAGAATTGGTAGGCTTATGAAATTACTTTTAAAGAAGAACCAACAGGATTTCTTGACTGATTGATAAGAGACCAATCATCACAGACTTGGATTTTGACCTGAACAGCTTAAACAGTATTATTTGCATAGAAACATCTAGGTAGGTCCTGGTTGGGAAAGATGTTCCAGAGTTTAATTTTCTTGCTAAAGGGAAATAATAAATAGGTAGCTAGATGTACAGATTTGGGGAGTGGTCTGGACTGGAGACATAAATTTTGGAGTCAAGATGAAGTATCTACTGGAACAGATCTCAAAGGAGTGAATGGACATAGAGATACAGGACCTGCGAGGTTAAAGGAAAAGGAAGCAGTTTGGAACAAGGGAGTATCTGCCAGTGTGTGGAAGCAGAACCAGAGCCATAGCTTCAACTAGGAGCCAGGAAAAGAAGTATCAAAGAGGAGGGGACCTGAGAGCTAGGAAAGGCTGAGCACCAGTCATCGGTTTAACCATGGGACCAAGCATGGTGGAGTATTGATTGGGCATTATGATGTGGTTCACAGTATTCTTTGGAGTCTGGCCCTGAGTTGGACCATATTGTGTGTTAGTGGTTCCTCCTTCATTGATTGGTGGTATTTGGTCTACATCCATTATATATCAATGGGAGTCTAGTATACTTCCAGTTTAAGCAGTAAAGCCCAGAGTGAACCTGTGCCTCGTATCATGCTCAGGAATCAGCATAAAAACATTGGGAATTTATCTTTTACTTTGCTACAAGTATCATAATTGTAGAGTGTTGTTTTTAACAAAATCGCAGTCATTCAGTTTTACCAATAAAGACTCAGGAGCCAGATGCTGGGGTGAAGGCCTGCTAGCTCAGAGAGGCAGAGAAAGCACCCAGCTGACCTTCCTCTGTAGTGGTGTATTCACTCCACCCATGACCAATAGAGGCAGTGCTTCTTGTTTGCCTACATGACTTCTTACAAAGAAGGGGGGGGGGGGTCACACCCTCTTGTTCGATGAAGACCAGGTCAGGTGGGGTTGGGCATCATGAAGTGTGAATGATCCCCAGCTTTCCAAGGACTCTGCAACTGGACTTACCATATCCTGTATTCATGAGTGTATTTCCCTCTTTCATATCTTAATAAATCCCTAGTACCCCTTAAACAGATGCACATAGATTTCTCATTACATTCCTCCTCTACTGACACTCCAAAAAAAAAAACCTTTCTCCTACACCATCTCAAACAAGACTCCTATAAGTCAGTGTCTCTCCCTTCTACTTCCTGTGTCTCTGTCTCCATCCTCCTGACACCCTCTTATCCTCTATGATTTTTTCTTGTTCATTTCCTGTCACCTGATTGCTTGCTCCACCACTTGACCTATGGTTGACTTTATTTAATCCTATGTACAATAGCAGAAAGCTCTTGTATTAAAGGTATGTTCTAGAGTTGAGCCTCACCACAACTAGAAACAGATTTTTCCAATAAATAAGCCAATCTTGGGGTTCACAGTGTGATCAGATATGCTGCAACAATATATGCTTTGGGTAACACTTCAGGAAATAAATGATACTAGGAGGAAGTTGCCTTCAAATAGGCAAGGCCATTAGCCTTCTGTTCATCAGGACTCCTACTTCTTGATGTACTCCTGTTTGTGTCTCCTCAGAGCAGTGAGTGAAACTGGCAAATCTTGACTGAGCATTTCAGCTTCTTTAGCCCAGCTTTCTGCTTGGTTTCTAAATGACCATGTCTTGAAGGGACATCGCACGTAAGATGAAGGGTTGGTTTCTGATGATTCATTTCTGTAGCTCATTTTTTGCTACAATCTTGGCATCTGAGGTCACAGTTATGCCTAGAAACCCAAATTCCATTTGTTTACTTATTTGCCATTTGTTTGTTTAAGCTTTTTGCTTTGCCCTTTGTCCTGTACCACAAATGAGCAAATACTCAAATGGAAATAGGTGCAGGACAATCCTCCTAAGGCCTTTGGGATATGGGATGCTTAGGCCACAACACCATAGTCCTTTTAGCAGCTGGTTGTTTTCTCATGTAACCTGCTAGGTTTATTTCAGGGAAACAAATACATTTTCAAAGTTAAATAGTATAATTATAATACCTTGAAAGGTATACACCAAAGGTTAAGGAATATCTTGTAAAATGACTCACTGTCACTGTATATTGTTAAATATTCCATCCTATGCCTCTCTTAAGAAGCCTATGGCGACTCCTGGCAGCCACGGTCAGTCTTTCTGTAGTATCAGACCTTCCACCACTCTTCCTGTCTGTGTGGAGGGAAACCTGGAGCAGAGCCATCAGGCCTGTGTGTCCCCATCTCTAATACTGTCTATAGTTAATATATTGAGGAATGAGGACCAAATGAACTGTCCTCTCCCTGAATTCATCCCAAATTAAGCATTGGCTTCTCTTTGAATTCTTCAAGCTGTAGAGGGACAGTGTCTCTGCTTGGTGGTCTACAGAGCATTGTCTGTGGGAGAGAGGCTAGCAGCACCCTAGGTCATAAGGACAGATCCTACCAGCCGTGTTGCAAAGTTTCAGCAGGGTGCTACCCACAGAGAGGCCATGCTGAATGCAACTGAGTATAGCATAAATGTGCAGTGATTGGCCCTGTCTGGACTGTGCAGGTGCTGTGAATTAGTTGTGAATGCATCTTATATGTTCTGTCCTTTCAGGTGACTCTCAGTGAAGGTCCTCATCATGTGGCCTTGTTTAAAGATAGCTCTCGGGAGTTTGATCTTACCAAAGAGGAAGATGTGAGTAGGATTTAAATCAGGTTCATCTCTGTTGCCTTATGTCCCCTGGGTGCTTTAAGACAAAGAAGTGGGGTATTTGTCATTAAAATTGTCTTGGGACTTTGTTCTTTCCCATTAATAGCTTGCAGCATTAAGACATGAAATCGAACTCCGAATGAGGAAGAATGTAAAAGAAGGTTGTACTGTTAGCCCTGAGGTAAGGGCAGCAATCATTTCAGCCATGATTGGGGATATAAAGTTTTTGTGCATATTAATAATTAATATGGATGTGGTATTTTGATTGTAGCTGTTCCAAGGTATATAGATAATTTTTAATTTTTTTGTTTTCTTTTTTTTTTTTTTTTTTTTTTTTTTTTGAGACAAGGGTCTCACTGTGCAGTTGGGGCTAGCCTGGAACTCACTATGTAGACCAAGCTAGCCTCATAGGGACCCACCTGCCTCACAGATGTTGGAATAAAAGACGTGTGCCACCACACTCAGGTTTTTTTTTTTGTTGTTGTTGTTGTTTTGTTTTGTTTTTTGTTTTGTTTTGTTTTTTTAATTTTCTAAATAATGTAGCCTTGTAGGGAGAATCACCACAAATATTGTTAAGAAATTCACTCCCCAGGAGATTGATATACTTTTCCCCCTTCCTGAATAGACCATATCTTTAAATGTCAAAGGCCCTGGGCTGCAGAGGATGGTGCTTGTGGACCTGCCAGGTGTAATCAATGTAAGTACACACAGAAGATGTGTTTCTTTCCATTCCCACCATGGAAGCCTTCTGTAATGACACTTAAAAACCTTTTTCTTCAAGACTGTGACATCAGGCATGGCTCCTGACACAAAGGAAATGATTTTCAGTATCAGCAAAGCATACATGCAGAATCCTAACGCCATCATCCTGTGTATTCAAGGTAAATCCCACGGATTTTCCCAAACCCCATCCTTTCCTCTTAAAGTTCCAAGCGTTGCTGCAGCGCCTGTCATGTAAGCATACATGCACATGCATTGTCACCTCTCTTGTCATTTTAGTAATGGAATTTAACTGGGAAGTTCTGATAGTTTTCATCTTTGACATTGGAATTTTATTGCCTACATTCCTAAAGTAAATGTATTAAGACTAAATTTTCACACTGGCTTTGTAATTATTACACTGGTTTTTTTTTTTTTTTTTTTTTTTTTTTTTTTTTTTTTTTTTCAGATGGCTCTGTAGATGCTGAGCGCAGTATTGTTACAGACTTGGTCAGTCAAATGGATCCTCATGGAAGAAGAACCATATTTGTTTTGACCAAAGTAGACCTGGCAGAAAAAAATGTAGCCAGTCCAAACAGGGTGAGGATAAGTTCTGTGTGTGTGTGTGTGTTTGTTTGTTTGTTTGTTTGTTTGTGCATGCATGTGTGCGTGCTTTAGGCTTTTCATCAAATAGGAATGAAGACATCTATGATATGATCTCATGGGTTGTGATAAGTTACTACTCAAATAATACACAGTGGTTAGAATGGTTCTCGGGCACCAAGTGTTGTATACCTGGTGACTGGCTTGTTTACAAATGATAAATAAGTGTTCCATAGTCCCCTATAGAATAATGGCATCAGGTCCTCATCCCCATTGTTATTGCATAGGTTGCTTCTCTTTTTCTCCTTAAATCTATGGGACTTTGCCTCTGTGTCGGGGTCCCCAGACATACCAGCCTCAGATGCAGTGATTCTTTCAAAGGACCCATAGGGTCGCCACATAGTCATAGTTGCCTTGGAAACATATTGTAGAGCTGTGAAGAAGATGCATGGGCTGCAGTCTAGAGGCAGCCTGCTCACATTTCCAGGAGCCTTCTCTGAAAGACTGGTCAGAGAGGAGGTACCAAAATTCTAAATTCTCAGAAGAAAACTGGTCAGCACATACCACATCACTTGCCCAGGATGCTAGACAAAGGCTAGCAGACCCTTTGAAGGGTCCTCTTGGGCCTGTTGTGGCAACTTGTTCTTGAGTCTTGCCCCTCTGTGACTTATTTTATATGTTTGCTTGTGAGCCTAACCTTTAATGGCTGAGACATCTCTCCAGCCCTCTCTGCCTTATTTTTAAGAACAAGGCAGTATTGTTATTACAGTATTGGTTCTCATGTGAAGAAGGAGAAGCAAAGTAGAAACAATGTCTGTGGCCTCCATTTCTCCCCTAATGCTTTCATTCCTTTCTTCACTTGGGATGTAGTTGAAGCTTATTCCAGGCCTTTTTATGGCAAAGACTCAGCTTTAGTCTAGGTTTAACTTGTCTCATCCTGGTGTTAATCTGAATGGACCTTCAGAATCAGAAATTCATATCATGTATGAATGATAGATTTATGTTTCCTGTGCCCAGACACCATAGTTTTTTATGACACTCAGAAAAAGGATTTTGTCCTTAAAAGAGTTGAAAACCAATCTACAATATATTGTTTCAAGCAAGGATAAGAAGAGAAATTAGTAAAAGATAACCAGCTTGGTGAGACTTCAGATAATCAAGCTTACAAGATGTGTCAGCAGTAAAGCTGCTGTGGCCAAATCTGTTTTTGATCCCTGAAACCCACAGAGTAGAAGATAGAGAGCTGACTTCTACAAATCGTCCTCTGACCTCCAAATGCACACACGCACACGCACGCACACACACACACACACACACACACATAAACATATACAAATAAACAAATGTCATTTTTAACTTAATAAAATAATTCAAAATTTTAAATATTCAAAGGAACTATAAGGAAAAAGTAATTGAGTGCTTCTCTTTGCCGGGCTCTGTGCTAAGAGCCTCCATAACCTTTTATTAAAACTAACTCATTTATTTAAGGTCACAGAGCTAGTAAATGGCAGGGCAAGAACTTCAACCAAAGTCTGACTCAGAAGCACTATAAATCATTCCAAGGTTTAGTCATTTAATGTAGTAAAGCTATATTAACAATCAAAACAACTTGTATGCTTTTGAGAGGTGTATGTATGCTGATAAGTATATGCATGTTTAGATAAAGTTTTAAAATATTTTCTGAGTTACATATTTGTGTTTTTAAAAATTAAGTGAGTCTGTATTTGACATTTTTCCAATCTATTAAAATAGATACAACAGATAATTGAAGGCAAGCTCTTTCCAATGAAAGCTCTGGGTTATTTTGCTGTTGTGACAGGAAAAGGTATGCAAAGATGGATTGTTTTAACTTACTTTTACTTTTGCTGTCTTCAGATAATAGAAATTCATTTTCTTGGTGAAATTTTGGTCACTATCTTTCCTAGGAAACAGCGCTGAGAGCATTGAAGCTATAAGAGAATATGAAGAAGAATTTTTCCAGAATTCAAAGCTCCTAAAGTAGGTGTCATGTTACAATATTCAAAGACTTTACTGTGAGAGCTTAGCTTATACCAAAGTGCTTCAATTGGACTGATCATGTCTTATAGCACCTAGCCTGCTGTTGGTTGTTTGTCCAAGTGGTGGTCTGCATCAAATGTCACTGTCCTTGAGCACTCTTGGGCAGAACTGGAAGTGTTTTGTCACATGGTGCAGCAGATGGCAAGACAGACTACCACTGCAGATGTGGACTGAGAGACAACCCTCACACCTCTTACATTGTTTCCCCTAGAAAGTGATTGTTTTCATTAATGTTTCCTTTGTAAAAAATGTGTGCACATTTCTCTTATAATAATAGAAAAAATATGGAATTGGAAGTAGCAACAGGATATTCCTGAATGAATATTGAAAGAAATTGACAGAAAATAAAATGTCACTGAACCGCAAATCAAAACAGAAGAACTAAACAGCAATTGCGTTACACTGAAAGTTTCTGTGTAGTTTCTAAAAGTAGACAAGCATGTTTGCCTCCATATTGGTACAGAAGTAAGGATAATTCCTGTAGCCATTACCCAAGGATTCTCTTTTTGTATTGGGAATTGTATTGGAAAGACAGTGACAAGCTTTCTGTAGAACTGTGCTGTCTGCTGTGTAGTGTCCACCAGTCATGTGCACACCCCAGACTGGCCAGTGTTTGATACAACAAAAGCCAACCCTCAGCCTCACTAACTGTGTCCTTCCAGACTCAGTAATTCATGTGGCCAATGCTTGGCTTGCTGGGCAGGCTAGATAGCCCACTTAGTGCATAAAGTTATGCTGGGCAGCGTTAATGTGGAGTGAGTGCTCCTTCGTCATTCTGACACACTTTAGCTCTGGTCTTCTGTAGGACAAGTATGCTAAAGGCACACCAGGTCACCACGAGAAATCTAAGCCTTGCTGTGTCCGACTGCTTTTGGAAAATGGTTCGAGAGTCGGTTGAACAACAGGCTGATAGCTTCAAAGGTAAGTCAGCTTCTTAAAGCAGGCCTCAAATGCAAGCATGTGATTTACTATTGGACAACAGGTGCAAAATGGAGAAACGCAAACCTTCTATTATACAAGAACTGATTTCCCTGTCAGAGGCAGCATTACAGTTCTCAGAAGCAGCAGGTTTGCAGTAGTCTCTAGAGAATGCTTGATGGCCTGTAGAGAACTTGGATCCTCCCCACAGGAAGAAGGGAAACACTGGGCATTGTACTGTTTCCCCAGGCCCACACTCTTCTGTACCAAGTCTTCAGTGAGAACAGCTGCTCCTCCCCACTTACTATTTGGAAAGTTACTATTTATCCCACTTAGTACAATAGCAATGTTGTGTTATCTTTATTTCCATTTTATAGATGAGAAGACAAAGGTGAAGAATAAATTACATAACCAGTACCATATAGAGTTAGACCCAGGACATGAATTAAAGTGCCAGAGTCCATTTTCCTAGCAGTTACACTACACTGCTACAGCTGGGATTTGTGAAATGAACATGGGGAAGCTAGAAGTCATGAGAATAGTTTAGACAACTGTAACAATAATAGTATTCAGAATATTAGGGCACCAAGACATGCTCAAAACCCAGCTGATACAGAAGGTGGAGAAGTAGACTTCACCAGTCAGACTGGAGCATCTTCCTTTCTCCACAGCAACACGCTTTAACCTGGAGACAGAGTGGAAGAATAACTACCCACGCCTGCGAGAGCTCGACAGGGTAATGATACCTGAGTGCCCCAGGGGCCTTGTGCATACTCTAATTACTGTGTCCTTACAGAGCTGTTGATCTGCTGGCTGAAATCGCTGTCCTCTTAATGATAACTTCTTAGGAGTAGTCTTTTTCACAATAACTTAAACTATTACAACATTTTAAAATAATTAGGGATTGTAGGATGTAGAAACATGTTAAAATTATTTCCGAAAAAATTACGAATATTCTTTAGTAGTCTTAATATAATCTAATTTTTGTTTTTAGTTATACATTAGCTTTTTACTTTGTTGGTATTTACATTGGAGATGTAGTCTAATGGGAACTAAATATTTTTTTAAAATAGCAAACTTATAAGACCCAGCATTATCTTATTATTACTGATCACTAAATTGTGTGTGTTGGTTCTTTAGCATTTGTTATGTAGAAATGTTATATTTAAAAACTTCAGTCAGAATTCAAAAGGGTAGATAGACATTGTGACTGCTTCTTGGTTCTTAGTAGTCTTGCATTTTCAAACCAAAACTTAGTGACCACACTCTATCCATGTCCTTCTCTTGATTATCCCTGAAGATCATTATAGGACAAATATAGTGGCTCATGACAACCCTAACTTGTCTCTATGTTGCCTAGAATGAACTATTTGAAAAAGCTAAAAATGAAATCCTTGATGAAGTTATCAGCCTGAGCCAGGTCACTCCAAAACACTGGTGAGTATTAATCCCTTTTCTCAGTGTCTTTCACTATAAAGTAGAAGGAAGCAGTGTTTTTTATTGTCTGGGTTCATCCCTCAAAATGAAGTAGGTGAAAGAATAGTGTCTCCTTTAAAAATAGCGGCAGCTGTATTCTATCAGTTGCCTGTCTGGACAGTAGCCTATTCAAGGCTCCTTTGAAATCTGCTTTGGTCTTTAGTATATCTTCACCCTATTCTTAAGAAATGCGTATTTGGAGCCAGGCGCTGGTGGCACATGCCTGTAGTCCCAGCACTTGGAAGACAGAGGCAGGTGGATCTATATAAGTTTGAGGACAGCCTGGTCTACAAAGCTACACAGAGAAACCGTGTCTCGGAAAAAAAAAAAAAAAAAAAAAAAAAAGAAAGAAAGAATGAGAGAGAGGAAAGGAAGGAAGGAAGAAAAGAAATGCAGATATGTTATTTCTATAGCATCATTTACACATAATTTCTTAAAATTGTCACAAAGTAACCTATCAGGACTGATTATTATGAATCAGAGACTAATGTCCTAGGGAAAGTAGATCTATAAAGGAAGAATGATATATGCTTTTTGATGTCATTTCAGACCATATGTACCGGTGATTTCTGAGACACATGTTTTATGCTGAACACAATAACATTTTTTAAATTTTTTGTGTTTTGCCTGCATGTGTCTGTGTACCACATGCATACCTGTTGCCCACAGAGGCCAGAAGAGGTTGCTGGGTCCCCTGGAACTGGAGTTGCAGATAGTAGTGATACAAGTAATAGAACTTGTATCCTCTGATAGAGCTGCCAGCGCTTTCGATCACTAAGCCATCTCTCCAGACCCACTATTTGTTATATTTTTCTGCTTCCTACATACGTTTTTTTTTTTTTTTCTTTAAAGTAGTGAATCCATCCTTTTGAGAAATTGTCATGAATCCTAGGACATTTTATGTTTATATAAATGTAGGTAATTGTACCACACCTGGGTCAAAGAAGAAATAAAGAAAGAAATTAAGGACTTTCTAAAACTCAATGAGAATGAGGACACAACATACCCGAACTTGAAAGCAGTGTTACAAGGGAAGTTCATTGCACAAAGTACCCATATGATGAAAACAGAGGATAGTCACATAAGAGAATTAACAGCACAACTGAAAGCCTTAGAACAAAAAGAAGCAAACTCACCCCAGAGGAGTAGACGCCAGGAAATAATCAATTTTAGGGCTAAAATCAACAAAATAGAAACCAGGAAAACAATACAAAAAAATCAATGCAACAAAGAGTTGGGTTTTTGAGAAAATCCACAAGATAGACAAACCTTTATCCAAACTAATGAAAAAGCAGAGAGAGAACATGCAAATGTAGGCATTCTTAAATTTATTGAAATAGGGCATTATAAGCAAACCACTAAACCAGGGATGGTAATAGATGCTTATAATCCCAGCATGCAGGAAGAACATGAATTCCAAGGCAGCCTGTGTTACATAGGTAACCTTGTATCCGCAGCAAAACAGGCTGCATGCAGCTCAAGCCAGCTGTGTATAAAGAGCCTAAAATTTTGGTAATTATATTTTAACTAACAAATTCCTGAGGCCTAAATTATCTTCCAATAAACTGTGGTATTTAAGAATGTATCATTCTTGGCACAGAACTTTCCTAACCACCATTCATGATACATATGTTCAGTACTTTGGCTTGCTCAGTCACAGATTATCACATTGAGCTGACACCAGCATCTCGTTCCTAAGTTTAAATTTGTTCTCACAGTTTCCCCATCTCAGTGCCCTCTCTTCCTCAGTGATGCCCTCTTTAAGTCATCAATGTTTGCCAAGTTTGTTACTCTCATTGTCAAGAAAAAGATACCTGATCTTATTTTTACTGTTCACTGATTAATTAAATATATATGACACAAACTGCTATGCTTCTTAGTTATATTTTAAACCAGTTCAGTTACCTCATACAATTTCAAGAGAGATGTAGATACACAGATATGTACATGTAAATTTTAAATGTCCATAAGGATAATTAATTGAGTACTAGTTGCCTTTCTAGGTTGTATGAGGGTAATATACATAAAGGTGATTTATAAATCATAACTGAGGATGCAACTAATGGTAAGGTTCCTGCTTAACAAACCAAGACCTTGGGTTCTCTTCAGTACCACCAAAAGGGGAAGGGGAGCCCATAACTAATAATATTATTTGTGGTGGGGGGGAATGTGATCCTGCTACAAATTAATTTATTATAATGTGACTAGTTTTGTTTAGGTAGAGCAATGCTAAAATATTATGCTATAACCACACTGAAATACACCTGAAAGGTAAATATATTTTGTTTGTTACACAAGGCACTTAACAGAGTTGTGAAAAGACAAGAAATGAGAATTCCAATAGAGAAGACTTAGCTGAGAATTAGCACATTTGGTGGCTGAGAACTCTTAGCTGCTGATGAGATGACCTCTAGTGAGTTTTCTTGATCAGCTTGTGTTTTTAGACTCTAGAATTTGACACAAAGATCAGAATAGCCAGTTCCAGCCTTAACTGTCCATGCTTTAGTGGATTTAACTGTATTATACCAAAGAATTTCAGGAGCATAGTTGGGATTACCTTAGAAGTTTTTGTTGGTATTATTTATTGGAATAATGGCATCACATGGCATTCTAAGGATGCCTTAGCTCTGAATTATTGAAGTAAGTACTGTATGTCTGAATGGGATAGTTTGTTACTTGCCTGTAGACATTCTGCATACTTTAGTCATATTTTAAGAAAGGAATCCTGGAGGGTTCAAATTGACATATATGTGTTACAGTAGTAAATATATATACACTGCATATTTGTCCAGCAGTGTATATGATCTTACAGATACAGCTGCTGACATTAAATGAGGTAATGGTTTGTTGTTAACATGTAATCATCTTTTCTAGCACAGTAATGGGCTGACTTTATGGAAATATACTTTGTGAAATCCAGCATTATGGGTTGTGTATTTTTAGGTGAAAATATTAAAACAAAAATGAAGAAAATATAGATTAGTTCCCTAACTCAAATTAAGGAATCTGAGACTTGTGGTATCAAGAGTGGTATCAAGAGTGGATTGGTGTTAAGATGGGAACAAAGGGATTGCAAAGGCAGGAGGTGAGAGGAAAAAATAAAAATTGGATGTTTGTGTCCATGGCTCTCTCATAAACACGTAAAGGGCAGAGAGAAACAGGAGCTGTAAGCCAGTTCTTTATGGGTGTTCTGTAACACAATAAATAAAAGACCCAAAGACAGGTATTGGGGTTCAAGCTTCAAGCTGAAGATCAGAAAAGCAAAGCAGCTGGCCACTAGCTCTTATCTCTGCCTCAGCTCAGACTAAAGGGGTGATCCCCAGACAGCTGTGCTCTCCTTAATATGGCTAGAGACTAACTCTCAGACTGACTACTGAAGACCCTGCACCTGTCCTATACACCTCCCTAATGCTGGGGTTAAAGGCGTGTGATCCCAGGTGCTGAGATCACCTTTGTGTGCGCTGTTTCTTTTAGAATTGAATCAATTTCTTTTAGTCAGTGTAGTCTTGAACTAACAGAGATCCATCTACCTCTTTCTTAATCCTGAGTCCTGGGATTAATGTGTGCCACCACTGCCTGATCTCTATAGCTTGTGGCTGGCTTTGCTTTCTGAATCCTCAGACAAGTTTTAATTAATAATAAATGATTTATCACCACACTCTTCAAGGTAGGAAAGCTCTAAGTCGGGAAGCACTTAAGAGGTCAGGTGACTGGAACGTGGGTACTGGTAGTGCAGGTGCGAGAGAGTGTGAGATGTTTGAACGGTGACACAGAAAAGAGAGCTGACAGGTTGGTGACTGGATATAGACGTAATAGAGAAGAATGCTGGTTTCTTTTTTTTTTACATCCTTTCTGCCCCATCATTAATTATTGTGCCTTCTCATAAGCTTCCCTTTTGTGGTAACTGAGCAGCCACCTGAACATTAACAAGGTGACACCAGCAGCTAAGCCCAGTGGTTCAGAGGAGGAGTAGGCTGGTACCCTTTGCCTTGGCAGCAGGAGTGTCTCTGCTCTCACTGGGTTGTGATTGCACTCCAGATGGACCAAATGATAGATAACAGGGTAGTTTTGGTTTGCTTCTTGTTGGTTTTTTGTTTTGGTTTTACCATGTATTCTACAACAGCAGAATTTATTTCAGTGGAAGTCAAATGAGTACTTCCTGAGATTTCAAATATTTTCCTAGTGGAAATGGCTATCTTTTCTAATTTAGAGATTTTCAGCTTACATATGTATCCTTTATACTATCTCCTTGGCCTTGAAGGGCTGAAATAGCTTATATAGTGATATCCTGTATCTCTATGCTTTGTGATACCATTTGTTAAATTGTAAAATTTATATCAAAAGTTTATGCCTTGAACTCCGGTAAACACATACAGTCTGTGTTAGAACTAAGTTAATGAGCACATGGAAATACACCCAGAATGATTATTAGAGACCTGTAGCCACAGTGAGATGGAGTGGAAACCTATTAGACAGGCTGAGAGTCAGGACAGTGCCGTGAGTAGAGAGTAGGACCCGCCTTCTCTGCTAGTAGGAATGTAAACCACTGAGGTATTTTAGAAAAGAACAGTATCTTTAAAAACTAAACCAAAAACTGTCATATATCGACCCACTCCACTCTTAGATGTGTACCCACAGAGAAGAAAGGCATGCATCCTTGCAAAGACCTGTGATGATATGCCCACAGCAGCTTTGTTTGTAATGGTGGATTGTACACCATTGGTGGTGCTTTGCAATAAAAAGATGTGAAATAGTAATGCATACACTACAGATTTCAAAGTAAGTATGTTGGGTGAAAGAACGTAGGAGGAAGAATATATGCTACATGATTACGTGTATGAAAAGTTCTAGAAAAGAGAAAGTAATTGTAATGACAGCAAATAGAATAGTTATAGGTCTGATGAGAGGTGTTTATCTTGATTCCTGTGGTTTACAGATGTTTACATACCCTGAATTCATCAACCCTTCACATATGTATAGTTTATTACTGTAATTATTTTTCAATTGTTTAACGCCATACTGGCTTTCTTGAAACTTCACTTTCAGGGAGGAAATCCTTCAGCAGTCTCTGTGGGAAAGAGTATCAACTCATGTGATTGAGAACATCTACCTTCCAGCTGCACAGACCATGAATTCAGGAACATTTAACACCACAGTGGACATCAAGCTTAAACAGTGGACTGACAAGCAGCTTCCTAATAAAGCAGTAGAGGTTAGGATGTAATTTAATTAAATGGGTAAGAAGCATCGTATGGAGGAAATAGGTGCTGTGGGTTGCAGGTCTTACTTCCCTTACAGTCTTTGTCCACAGCCTTAACACTTCATGCACGCTCTGCGCCCACCTCCGTAGGAGCTAACCTTGATACTGTTCTCAGTTGCTGCTAACATAAAAGTTTACTAATCAGGATGCTTTTTGCCTAAAGGCATTGCCTCTCCTTCCAAAGATAACATTTAATAAAACCAACAAAACTGACTTGAAGATGAAATATTTGAACTTCTGTGTATTGAGCTTCTATCAGGAATACCTTCAAACTGACTAATTGTTACCGTTTTTGTTTTGGGAGGTTTTTTGGTTTGTTTGTTTGTTTGTTTTGTTTTTTGTTTTTTTATTTTCTCCAGGACCCTATAATACATACATATGCATTGAGTTAGGGTCCTGCTAGTTTTGAATAGGAATTATTTACAGAGGTAAAGCACTTTGAAGAATCCATTTCTGTCCTGATGCATTTGGCCGGACTGTGTGAAAACTGATAGCTTTCCTACTACTTGTTCAGCCTTCCAGTAATTCTGTCTCTCTGCTTTCTACCCTGGCTGTGTGCTGGGGGGAAGAGTGGGACTGATGAGGGTAGGAAACTAGTAGGTTCATTCCCATCCCATGCAGGCATGGAAATGCATGCCTGTAATCCTAGCTCTAGGGAGGCTAAATTGAGCAGGGGATTGCCCTCAGGCTCACAACAGAACAAAACAAAAACCACCTCACCTTAGTCACTTTGCCTTGTGCTTTTCCTTTCATGGTTGAGACTGAGTAAAAGTTAGCTCAGTAATGGTTTTTTTCTTTTTTTTTTTTTTTAACTTTTTTTTATACTTTTTTATTTATTTATTTTATATAACCAAGTCCATTTAAATGAAAACAAACATTTACAGACAATATTTGGGAATTTCGGCGTCATTCTTTCCAAACTACTTCCTGCTGGTAAGGGGCGCTGTCATGGGGGATTCTAAGAAGATGCAGAAATCCTGGCTGTAGTCTGTAAGGCTGCTTTGTCCAGCTGTTTTGAATGTAGGATCACCTGGTACTCTGTTTCAGGCGTTTTTAATATGAATCTTTGCTTGCAAGCAAAACTGTAAAGATGATTGGCTCAATGAATATGAACTTAAACTTGATTTGATGTGGAAGGAGCAGGCAGACTCATCAGATATGTTAGTAGTTGAAATAAGTGAAGTAAATTTGTTGGCAGACTTGGGGTATAGGGCTTGCCTAAAGGAGCCAGCCCTGCTCAGCTCAGCGAATGTGTCCTGTGGGGATATGAGCCTATTATTTCCAGGTTGTTCTTTAAACAGGGCCTTGGTATGTCACCCTGCCTGTCTTGGAACTTACTATGTAGACTAGGCTGGCCTTGAGCTCACAGAGATCACCTACCTCTGCCTCCTGAGTGATAGGGTTAAAGGCCTATGACACTATGCCCCCTGTGCTGCCTTCTTATTAGTGTGCTTGCATTTATCAATGACCTTCCATTTCCTGATCAGCTGCTGTATCACATCTGTTTGGTTTCACGTTATTTATTCATGTTGCATATTAATTAATGGTAAGCAGTCTAGCTACAGCTTTTTTCTTTTGTACCTAGGTTGCTTGGGAGACACTACAAGAGGAATTTTCCCGCTTCATGACAGAACCCAAAGGAAAGGAGCACGATGACATATTTGACAAGCTTAAGGAGGCCGTGAAGGAGGAGAGTATCAAGCGGCACAAGTGGAATGACTTTGCAGAAGATAGCTTGGTACGCCCTCAGCCTGATTAGAACCTGCTGTGCCCTCTGTCTAATCAGGATGCCAGCATCGTTTTCACGGGATGTCTTAAAGAGATTCTTTCATTGAGTTTTTACATGACTACAGTGTAAACTAAGAGATGTATGATTTGTATCCTGCCCTTCATTCCTCTGGCTCTTCTAAAATAACACTCTGAGCTTCTTTACTTCCATTTCAGAAGAAAGGTCAGATTTTGCAGTAAGCAGGTTCCCATACATTTCCACGAATTGCCATCCATTAGTTATTTTGGGCCTGTCTGTAGGTACCTTGATGTAAAATCTTAGCACTACCTACCATATTTTGAATGTCTACCATATGCCAACAACAACTCCTATGAATTTGTAAGCATCATTTGGTTGGCTTTTTTTTTTTTTTTTTTTTTCAGAGTCTTGGACCTCATATGTGCTAGGCAACGAGCTATATCCTCAGCCTCTTTTTCTTTAAGTAGGGTCTTATACGTTGCCCAGACTGACCTTGAATCTGTAACCCAAGAGTCCTTGACCTGTCAGTCCTTCTGCCTGCATCTGCTGAATAGCTGGGATTATATGCTTGTCCCACCAGGCCCAAAGCTTGATTGAATTCTGAAGCGGTTGTGTTAGGTTTTATTGCTGGGAGAGAACACCCAAGCTTGACAAGAGGGAAAGGTTTACTTGGACTTATGGTTTCCAAGGTTTCCATCTGTGGGTTGCTTGATTCAGTTGCTGTTAGGCCTATGAAGTGAGGATCCGATAGGCAGGAATAGTGGAGAAAAGCTGCTTAGTTTGTAATAGCCAAGCAGAAAGGTGATGGCACCAGGGACAAGAGACAGTCTTCAGAGGAACTCCCACAGAAGCCTGCTTTCCTCCCCACTGCCAGTGATCCCTTCAGTATTTATTCCTCAATGGATTCATTCATTGATGACGTTAGTGCCCTCATGATCCAATCATGTTTCATTGGTACCAACATCAGGGGGCCAAGTCTTTGGGTGGACATGTCAGGTAAGGACAGCCACAGTCCCGTCATTGGCAGAGCTGGTATTCACCCTGCTCTGACTACTCTAGCTCCTGACCCCTCCATGTACTTTTCCTATGTTAATGAGCATGCACTTACCACCACAGCCAAGCCTCTTCTACTAGCAGGGCCAGGTCACAAGAGGAGCTGTTGGAAGAACTGGGTGATTTTTCTACAACAGCACAGATCTCACTGTGTACTCTTTGTAATCATAATTTCATTTTGGAGAAATATTTGTCTTCATATTTGAAAACCATATCCTTATTTCACTGCCTGGAAGACAGGTTTTCTAAAAGAATTGCCAGTTTCATTCACTCACTCAAAAGTTATAAAATTTAGAAACCAGATTTTAATCATAAAAATAATAGCTAATGTTTATGATTGGCAGTGATTGAGCCTTTGCCCTGTCACTGTATTTCTGCAAGCAATGAGAAAATGGTTAGTAATTTTTTTTTTCTTTTTTCTGTTTAATACAGAAGGCAATATGACCCTCTGGGTAGTACAGTTCCGACTCTCAGGATTCATATAGCCCAGTGTGCTGTTTGTGTACCTTTTCGCCCTCTCAGTTAGCTCTTTAATTTCAACCACAAGAGACTTCATTCTGTTCCAGAAAACAAACTGGCAGATGCAGCCAGACAAAAGGAGCTCCTACATTGCTGTTATGTGGCCATTTGTTAACGTTCACTATTTACTAGGTTGCCAGCTTAAATAAAATTACAGATATGTGGGAACATAATTGAATTAGCTTTTTTGCCCTGACTGTTTCAGAGGGTCATTCAGCACAATGCTTTGGAAGACCGGTCCATATCAGACAAGCAACAATGGGATGCAGCCATTTACTTTATGGAAGAGGCACTTCAAGCTCGGCTCAAGGATAGTAAGTAGGGACATAGCTCTAGAGGTGTAAGCATTGTAAAATATAATTCATGGGCCAGTGAGATAGCTTGGTGGGGAAAGCAATTGTCATGAAAGCCCGAGAACCTGGGTTGAATCCCTGGAACCCACACTGGAGACAGAAGAGATGCCCGAAAGTCGTTCTCTGACCTCCACTCATGCACATGCCATATATACACATACATAATTAATTAGTTTTTAATATATACTTAACACTTCAAAGTCTATGTCCTGAGTACAGTTGAATATTTAATTGTGGGATTTCTTATGAGTTACTTGTGACTAATAAAGAGAGTAATTAAATTGGACATCAGATACTTATATTTATTCCTTACATATAGGAATTCTGTAAACAATTGTACTTTTCATATATTTGAAGCACATACATAATTGTCATACTTTTGCCATACCAATCATATCATTGTTAGTTATAATTTATAGCCTTAATAAATGATAAAATTCCTACTGAATTAATTTTTATCTGTCCTCTAGCTGAAAATGCTATTGAAAACATGATAGGCCCAGACTGGAAAAAGAGGTGGATGTACTGGAAGAATCGAACCCAAGAGCAGGTAGGAGCAAGAACATCTCTGTTCTCGTGATAGTATTTTGTTCGTGGTCTGGTTTGCTTTGGAATTTTGGATTTCTGTAGCTCAGGCTGGCCTAAACTCACAGCAATTCTCCTTCAACCTTTTACTTGCTCAGATTATAGGCTTGTGCCACCATATCTGCATTCATCTTGCTCATTTCAGTTCAAACATTAACACACAGTCTTGGGGCTGGTGGAGATGACTCAATGGGTAAGAGTTCTTGCTATGTAAACATGGGATCTAAGTTGAGATCCCAATACCCCAAAAAAGCCCAGCATGGCTGCATGAACACCTGTAACCACAGCACTCCTGGGGTAGAGACACAAGGATTCTGGGGTGGGCCACTGGTTGCCAGCCCAGCTCCAGGTTCACTGGGAAAGCCTGTCTGAGGCACAAGGTGAAAAGTGGCAGCACAAGGCATCTGATGTCCTCCTCTGACCTCTGCATGTGCCCACCCACAGGTACCAGCAACCACACACATGTGCACATATAACACACATGCATACATCAGGACCATACTCATACATATGCACATGTGCATATGCATATACATGCACACACATAGACATGTTCATATGCATACACAGTCTTCTTGTGGCTTTAGAAGATTCTTTAGAATTTTAGTTATATAAACATAAAAATATGAGTCTATTTTATTAAAAGATTAAAAAAGTAAATACAGTGTACTTCATTTGTGGTTGACTACTTTGTTCATTTCAGTTCCCTAAATGAGACTCAGAAGAGGGTAGTTGGGCTAGAGAGATGATTTGATGGCTAAGAGCTCCTGCTGCTCTTATAGAAGACGTGGGTTTGGTCAGTTCCCAGCACCCACAGGACAGCTTACAGCCCACCAGAAACTCTGGTTCCAGAGGATCTGATGTCCTCTTCTGGCCTCTGAGGACACCAGACATAAACATGGTACACGTACATACATGCAGGCAAAGCACCCATATGCAAAGTAAAATAGATAAAAATCTCTTTAAATAATGAGTAGTCATAAAAAAAGACGAAAGAAAGGAAGGAAGGAAGGAAGGAAGGAAGGAAGGAAGGAAGGAAGGAAGGAAGGAAAAAAGAAAAGAAAAAAAAAAAAAAACCTGAAACAAAATCAAAGGATATGTGACAATTGTGCTTAGGAAGAATTCATATGTATATATAATTTTATTATATTGTCTCTGATTTTTTTCTGTTCGAAGTTAATTCAAATTATTTTAACTTTTTGTAGTAACTTCTGTGAATATGCATACAAAGTAAATATGAAAATCCAAAAGGGAAGTATGGTAGAACTCATCCTTTAGTAAATATTGAATGAGCACTTCAGAACAAAATGGCAAAGCTAAGTATAAACAACTTTAAAAATCAGTAAATTGCAGAAAAGTGTGTGTCACCCACCCCTTTTTATTCCTTTGAACTCTCGTAGCTTCTTTTCCTGTGAACATCAGTCTCATCCTTCAGTTCAGTTCTTAAAGGGAAGTCCATAAATAGAACAAAGAACCAAAATATATAAGTGGGTGAAATAATAAGAAAAAGAGGTGGTATCTAGTCCACTGGGATTTGTTTCCTGTGTTCACTAAATCTACTTAGTAAAAAGGATGCTAAAACATGGAAGAATTCAGAGGTACAGGGAATAAAATACTCCCAAAGAATATAACCTTATTTCCTTGTTTGTATTTCCATTTTAAATAGTTAATGAAATGCATGGTCAGTGCCCTGTTTCTTTTCCATTGCCACACAGTCCTTATTTCATAAGCTCCCTAGATTAAGTGATTTGACCCTAAGTCAGCAATGCCTGTGTTCTCACTGCCATACAGATGGGCTGAGAAAAGGTCTGTCTAAAGACCTGTGGAGCTCTCATCAGAAGCTGACATGGAGCAGGAAGAGACATTGGTTAGAAACAGCTGGTATATGGCAGCTAAACTCAACATAGGGACAGAAGCCTGCTGAGCAATCAGTGACCACAGTTACAGTACTGGTAAATAGACTAAACAGAGAGAGAGAGAGAGAGAGAGAGAGAGAGAGAGAGAGAGAGAGAGAGAGAGAGAGAGAGAGAGAGAGAGTCCTGCTCACACATTGTTTTTATCCAGAATCCATTTAAGAGAAGTAACAAATGCATTGTAAGGTCATTGCAAAGAATATGAACTTCTAGAAGAGGAATCTAGAAGCCCTTCCTAGATGAACCTTCACCCCTGCTAAGCCAACATATTTAAGACGACTCAGGCTGACAGTTTAGATAAAGGGGCGAGAACACCAGAATCACCTGGGATGTGTCTGTGTGTCCATTTTTCTTTTTCCTTTAAAGTATTGACTGACTGGTCACCTCTTTCCCTAATCTTTCTGTCCTTCCCTCCCAGCTCCCTCTTACCTAGAAGATAGAGTTGGAAACATATTTCAGGAGAGACAGAAGGTATCCCCACATCAGTGTAGATAGCTATATGCAGTTCTTCTGCCTTCATGGGTGACAAGACTTAGCAAGAAAAGAAACAGAATATTTTCCTTTGCTAAAGATGAGAGACTCAGGGGCTGGGGAGGTAGCTCAGTGGTTAAGAGTGCTTGCTGCTCTCCCAGAGTTCAGTGCTCAGAACCTCTGGCCTATGGGTACCCACATTTAGGTTGTGACACACACACACATACACAAATAATAATAATAATAATAAACCTTATTTATGAGACATATGCCTGTATGTAACCTTCCTTTAGTTTTGTAGGAAAATCCCACCCTGTGAAACATTCTCACTATGTCTTAGCAGAACCAGTAGCCCAGATAAACGAGAAAGAAGCTTTCTTTGAAAGGTTTTGTTATTTTATCAGTGGATTGATGATGACAGGAATGTAGGCATAAAAGCACAGGCTGGGTGGAGAATGTTACATTAGGATTCCTTCCCTCTATCCAGTGCTTAGAATAGAGCTGTGTGAATGAACGGACTGTGAAATTTGCACTTTCATTCAAAAGCTGGTCAGTTGCAGAATGTCCTTGTAGAGTGCTAGGAGGCAAGTTTCCTTATAGTATAATGATGTTATTAGTGATTTGCAGCTAGTGTCTTTTGCCATCCATGTCTGAATGAAGGACTGAGGAGATAAATTCAGTTAGACAGTGTAAGAGTCTTATTTTAAAACTTTTAATTAGTGTAGATGTTATCTTCCTTTGCTGAGATTAATGCATAGTTTCACAGAAGAGGCTGAAAGTGAATTAAGAGTATTTCAGGAATAGTTCAAAGTATGATGTTTTTAATGGAAGAGCTTCTTTTGAAAAGCATCAAACTACACACACTTGATATTTCATTGGTTAAAACAGAAACACTTGACAAAGTCTTAAGTTATTGTAGAAATTTATAGAATATCGTTTTTTCCACATAGCCTCATCTAGACACTTTCTCTTAGACACTAATTATACTCTATAGTCAAGAGTGAAAGTCTGTCCTAAGGAGCCTGGTGCTACAATTCCACCAATAAGTCACTCATAAGGTGAGTGGCTCTGCATTCATAGGCCTCCAAGTTTATGTCCCTTCTCATAATTAATAGTGTTGCCGTAGTAATACATTTATTAAAATGGGCCTCTATTTTCCACAAGTGCCAAGTTTGAACTGTCTAAACAGCCTTCCTTTAACTTGTTGAAGTGTGTTCACAATGAAACCAAGAATGAACTGGAGAAGATGCTGAAGTGTAATGAGGAGCACCCTGCTTATCTTGCAAGTGATGAGATTACCACAGTCCGGAAGAACCTGGAGTCCCGAGGAGTCGAAGTAGATCCAAGCTTGGTAAGAAATACCATATAGGAGTTAGGGATTTAGCTCATTGGTAGATTACTTGCCTAACAATCACAAGGCTCTGGCTTCGGTCCTCAACTCTGGGGAAAAATGAATACCACTGGGAACCAGATATGGTGATGGATGCAATACTTGGAATGTGGAGGCAGGGTTTCAGGCTACAAAGTGAGTCTGAGGTAGCCGAGACCACAAGAGATTCTGCTTGGAAAAAGAAGGGGGTGGGCTCTGCTTTCTGAGACTGTGACCATGAGCAAACTGACTGCTATAGTTATAGTCATTTTAGTATATGAAGAGTAGCAATTTTTCAGTTTTGTAAAGGGTAATTGGAGAAAGTTAGAAAATTAGGTTTACATGAGTCATTTTAGCAATTCCTATAGGAGGGATAAAAGGCATTCTCAGACCTTATCTCAGCTCCATTTTATAGTTTCAGCATACAACAATTGACTTTTGCCTAATTATGCCCCACTTATATAAACAGATATCAGTGTGCTGGGGGAGCATAGCTGTATTGTTTTTTTTAATAGGGTTTGTTTGTTTTTTGTTTGTTTTAGACAATGTCTCACTATATAGCTTTAGCTAACCTGGAACTCACTATGTAGGCCAAGCTGGCCACAAACTCACAAAGATCCACCTGCCTCTGCCTCCCAAGTGCTGTGCCAGGATTAAATGGGGGCATACCATTCCCAGCAACATAGGTAGTGTTTATAGTGTTTACGGTCAGTGGAGCTCAATTAGATATAAGTGGACTTAGGAGGGAGACAGGTATTTTAATTTTTATTGAATTAGATAAGACCTCATTCCTGACAAGAGAACAAAGATAGTCTATATATTCAGCCATCCTTTGTCTTAGCTTCATAATACTTATTTGCAGCAGAATTTTAAAACAGTTACTGGATCTGTGTTTCCTGCTGTGTAGAGTTTAGAATTTAGGGGCTGGAAAGGTAGCTCCAACACTTCAGAGCACTTATTCTCATAGATGACCTGGGGCTGGTTCCCTGCACCCATGTGGTGCACTGACAATTGGAAAAATAAATCTAATGAGGAAAGCAAACTGAAAACCTTCCAAGCACCGTGACTATTTTGAAATGTCACCTTTAAATTCTACCTGAGGTGAGAACAGAGAAACTGTAAGAACCTGAGCTGCTATCGTCTATAAACTGAACAGAAAACTTCTAGCTGGGTGTAGATCCAATTTGTCTAGCTCTCATTAATAAAAGGCCACCCTACAGAGCAAGTTCCAAGACAGCCAGGGCTACTATCTCAAAAATGAAAAAGAGAGAGAAAGAGAAAGGCCTTACAAATTGAGCATCCTCCCCTGATTCAAAAGGGTAAATGGAAATGCTCCAAAACCTGAAACTTTTTCCACTCCAGCTGATATCACAAGACAATTCTTTGTGGGACTGATTGGATTCAAAATCTAGGCACACTATTGTTGTGCATAAAACTACTTTTAGAGTATGTGTAAAGTATATATAAAACATAAGTGAATTCTGTGTCTAGACCTTTGTCCCACCTCCAAAATGTATATGTAAATATTGCAGAATCATCCCACCCAAAAATCCCACCTGCCAGTAGTTCTGTCCCATGTATGTTGGACCAGGAATACCCAAGCTTTGTGTATTTTGATACTTTTAATTTTATGACTTAGGTTAATGCAGTAGGGGATTCTATTGGATGTAGAGTAGTACACGTTGCTACTTTCTGCAGGCAAGAACGTCTCAGTTTGTGTTTTTGTTTGTTTGTTTGTTTGTTTGTTTGTTTTTTCCCTAGTGGCACTTTGTTTTTTAGAACATTCTATAAGGCTGCCATGACAGCCAAAGAATATGGGCTGTCAGGAGATTGGATTCTCACCTATTTCCATTGTATTACTGGTACTGCTCCCTTTAGTAATTGATAACTCAAGTCCTGCTGTCATCATCTGTCAAGTGGGGTTGGTACTTGTTCTGCTTGCTAGCGTTATTGTTTTGTTACTAGATGTGATGAACATTAAATACTCCTGCAGACCATAGTGCCACTGTGGTGGGGACACAATAGAAAGGATTGCTTTTCGTCTGTTGACATTGATTAAGCATGGTCTGAGACCAGCTTTCAGGTCCTAACACTGTCCTAGGACCAGTGCCTTGGTTACCCCCACTGCTTGCTGTGTAAAGATGCTCCCTTACCAGCCTGCCCCACAATGAGTGTGTGACTGTAGCTACAGTGCTTGCTTAGAACTTCATAGATTTGGAAGTGTGAAAAACCAGTAAATCTCATATCTGACTTGAAGAATGATGGAAGTGGATTAAAAAGGTTGGTAGAATACAAACATTGCTATTGCTTTCAATAAACTTCTAGAAGTAAATGTTGTATTAACTAACTTCTCAGTGGTCAACATGTCAATACTTACTTCAGTTTTCCTTTTCTCTTTTTAGATTAAAGATACTTGGCATCAAGTTTATAGAAGACATTTCTTAAAAACAGCTTTAAATCATTGTAACCTTTGTCGAAGAGGTTTTTATTACTACCAGAGGCATTTTATAGATTCTGAGGTGAGGTTTTAGCAGCAATTGTTGAAAGATGGTAAAAAGTAAACTTCAGCTTTACTATTAACTTTTAAGCCCTTGAGCATCTTAGAGAAAAGAATGTGTAACTTAAAGAGTAGCCTTTTATCTTTTCAGAGATTTGCCAGTTTAGGAATGACTGCCTTCCATGTGTATCGTTGGGGGCAAAGAAGTGGGGGAAAGGGCAGTCATGTGTACCCTAGAGTGACTTGAAGTGTGTTTGTGTTTCTGTAAGGGGAGGATGTGTGTAGAGCATAGCCAACCACATGTATGGTGGGGACCATATAGCAAAACTACTTTGTTACACTAGTTCTTATAATGGACATAGCTTTCATACCTTTTAAAGTAACCCCTAGGTGGCAGCAGACTGACATGTTTCGAGCATTTTCTTACAAAAAAAAAAAAAAAATGCTTTAAAGTAGGCCTTGGAAAAGCTCTGTTAATCTTTGTTACTAAGTTGAAGCTTCTAAGTGCTTTTCTGGTTTGCTTCATCTCAAAGGAAACATGTATGTATTATTAGATAAGCACTGATATTTTTAGTAAGACTTAGGAAATAGGTTCTATGTGTTTAGTATAGGCTTTGTTTTTAAATTTGCATCTAATCTTAACTGTTTACTACTTCAGCTGGAATGCAATGACGTGGTCCTGTTTTGGCGAATACAGCGCATGCTAGCTATCACTGCCAATACATTAAGGCAGCAGCTCACAAACACTGAAGGTAAGATAATGCCTACAAACCAGATTGATTAGAAAACCTCAGGTGGGAATTTGCTTTAAAATATTAATAATAGAGAAATTACAATTAGAAAATGATAGAGATAAAAGATGCTATGTATATACTTCATTAGATAAAAAGTTTGATTTAAAAAGGGGAGGGGGGCATCCTGAGCATTGCTTTGTGTTTTTGGAGTCAGTGATACAGCTTAAGAACATGTGGTCCTTGGAATGTAGGTCAGATTTATCTGATAAATGTACTAGAAAGTGAGGAGTGTGAATCCAAGTGTAGAACTAACATGGTGATACAGATGTGGAAATTTTTCATTCTATGCATTCATGAAAACAGTGCCCTTCTGGGTTTTTATTTATTTTGAACAGTTAGACGACTAGAGAAAAATGTTAAAGAGGTATTAGAAGATTTTGCTGAAGACGGTGAGAAAAAGATTAAATTGCTTACTGGCAAACGGGTTCAGCTGGCTGAAGATCTGAGTAAGTACTTACTTCCTCCCACCCAGCCTCACGGATCCCTTTCCCATCCCCATGGCTCTTCACCCATTTAATCTCCAGCTTAAAGGAAAGTTGCAGCTACCTAAGAAGAACATGTTTTCTTCTGCAGTATTAAAGCATTGACCTAAAATCTGACCATTTCTAAATACTTGAATATGAGTTTCCTAGAAATAAAGATTTTTTTTCTCCTCACAACTTCCAAAGTCAGAGTGTCACTTAGACTCATTCTTCTCTTACTACTCAGTATTGTCGTACCATACAACATGATGTTCCAAGCTCTTCCTTTCCTTCTTTCTTTCTTTCTTTTTTAAAGAATGGTATTTAGAACCATTCTCCCATCATTTGGGAGGCAGAGGCAGGTGGATCTCTGTGAGTTTGAGGTCAGCCTGGTCTACAGAGAGAGTTCCAGGACAGCTAGGACTGTTACACAGAGAAACCCTGTCTCGGGGGGAAAAAAAAAAGAATGGTATTTAGAAATCAAGGTCTGAGAACCAGAAATGCTTGTTGTTAGTGACATGAGTTCCCAGGCCTTCTCAGTAAAAAGTGTGTGTGTGTGTGTGTGTGTGTGTGTGTGTGTGTGTGTGTGTACATGTGGGCACATATTCATGTGTGCGAGTGCAGATGCACATACACAGAGGTACTCATTCCTAATTGTGTGTGTCTACCAAAGACTCTGAAGTGGATGCTGATGCTTACAAGTTGTATCCAGTTCTGTCTGGTTTGTTCTTGGCTTTGCTATTTCCCGTACTTGTAACTCCTCTCAGTGAGAACAGCTTCTGGACTCCTTAACATTATTCTGATCAGTCCTCTTAATGTATAACCAAACTTTTCGCTGCCCCCTTCATTGCAAAAGCAGACTTTTCATCCAGCCTGGACCCTTGGCCACCCTGTACCAGACCCCACTACAGTGCCTCACCCTGTGCCACTGCAGTTTTTACTGTGCAGGCTGTGACATCCTGTAAGAGTCTACACTTCTTCACAGAGTCCTTCCACTCTGTTCATGCTCTGATATTTGTGTCTGGCTTCTCCCCATCTCATCTTTCCCACATTCTCTCCCCTCCCCAACTCCTAACTTGTCTCCCCAGAAACCAGAGCACACTTTGTCCTGCTTGTAGTCCAGCACCCTCCATCAGGTTACCCCACACAGGTGTGCATCATGGGACCAGGCTTTCAACGCCCTATTAACCCTGGTGCTTAAATGCTGATGAGTTCCTAGCATGGAGACTTGCTTAGATCTCTGCGAGCCCAGGGAGATGAGAGAACCATCAACATTATTACATAACTCTTGGTAGTCGGCGCTCCATAAGAGGTTGCCTACATCTAAGTGTCCCTTCTTTGAACGTATGAAACAGTTTGTCCTTTCAGGATGTACTTAAATCTGTATGCCCTTTTTTTTACTAATAAGATGCCTATTGTGATGAGTAGGGCAATTCATTCAGCAAGCCTTTGGAAGTCCTTGACTCATCATTCCATGCTGTTTGTACTGATACAGGAAAAGGCTTGTCATTGTCGCAGTGTGTACAATTTCTGTGCCCCTCAGGACATAGTTATTAGACTGTGAATTACTCCAATGAATTTTACCTGCTTCTACCTTTTTAAGTGACAGAAAAGCAATGTGCTTTTTCATGACTTAGAGCCTGTACAGTTGCCCATTACCCTCCAGTTGTAATTTGATTATTTAAAGAAAGTATATTAGTAACTCAGATATGTACTCTGTCAAGCCAAGTTCCATGTTCTGGTAGTTTTCCTAAGAAAGCAGTCATATGACCTCCTTGAAATGATTTGTGACTTTTGTGCAAATAGAGTTATGGTGTTAATGTTCCAAATAATGTTCTTAAAAGGTGGTTTCACCCATGACTCGGCTTCATCAGTCACAAGGGAGATGAGCCATGACTGCTCTGTAGTTTGAAGAGTCCTGAAAGCGCCTTTTCCTTACTTTTTCTCTTCCGTCTAAGGACTGGGAATATAGTCGTAGATGCTTTCAGCCAGACTCTGTAGGTTTATTAGTCACGGCTGTATTGTAGGGAACAAGGTATCTAGTATTACAGATGCATTTCGGATATAGTATGGGGCAATCAAGAAATTGAACTATAAGTTCAAAATTGTAAAGAGTGGTGTCACATCGAATTTACTAAAATGTCAGTAATATCCATGTTTTGTCAGTCATAAATTTACCTGCCTTTCAACCATTCATCATTCTGGATAGTCCACCAAATGATTGTTCATTAAAGTGTGATTATAAGTAGTGCATCATTCTCTCAGGACAGTACTCACTATCATTCTTACCAAACTAAAAAGTGAAACTGTGGTTAGGAAGAAGGAAGACATGGGGAGAAAGCACACTTCATGTGTGAGGAGGCTTGTTAAAGAAGCCAAGACTCTTTGGACACACAGTGGCTTCCATGGCTGGAACATGGGAAGGACAGGGTGAGCTAGGAACACTTTAGAGTAAGAAGTCAGGATGTGTTTGTTGAAGGGTGATTTGTCTGTGTCACCAGATACAGGCACTGTTTGATCTGCAGCTGGCTAGACCCCAGGATATTGAGACAGTGACAGGCTGTAGCTTATTGAATAAAACAGAAATCCTTGAACTTGGAATTATATAGGGAGGAGATGCAAGTAGTGATGAAGACTAGAATGTTTATTTTACCATCCAAAGTATCTCAACAGAAAATACCTATTAGAAATAGTTTGCAAAGAAAATAGCTATTATTTTTAAAGTGAAAGATTACTGTGTCATGGAGAAACCTGAGCAATATGGTCAAATCTAAATCATATGGCCAAATCAAAGTCCTATGCCACCTTATGGGATGCACTGAGAAGAGGCCATTCTTCCTAAAGATGTATGCCCTTAGTGTGACAGTGCATCAGAAACCCAAAGTAAAGGATCCTCTACAGAATGAGTAGCTGGCCTGCAGTTGTCAGATGCATGAGAGACAAGGCAAAACTGGAGAACTAGTCTACATTGACAGCAACTGGGAGACCTGAAATACCAAATCTGTTACAAGGGCATCAATGGGACTTCAGAAAGCCAGGCAGCTATTTCCTGGAAGGACTACATCAGTGTTGGTTTCTAGGGCTTCATTGTGTGGTTGTGATCATTTAAGAAAATATGTTTGCTTCCAGCTAGCTTACAGCAGTGTTTGGATGTGATAAAGCCTAGTGACAATAAATGGTTCTAGAGAATGACAATAAATAGTTCTGGAGAAATAAGCTGTGGTGTTGGTAAAGCTTTCTCTGAGCCGGGTGGCTTTAGTTTGTTTGTTTGATGAAATAGGGAAAAAAAGTTTATGTTTCTAGCTAATAGAAGATCAGTGTCATGTGAAAATACTTGACAGATGAGACTCACCAACATAATCTATGATGATGTCACAAAGCTGAGTAGCTCAAGGACAGACCCCTCATCTCCCTGCCTCAATTCTTATTACAGTCTCTCCCCACAGAGTATAAACAGCCCACTATGACCTTTGAGAATCTTGACCCTGTAGTAAAAGTAAGTTCAACAGACTTTCAGTATCTAAATGTACCAACTGTGAAGGTAGCTATTTGGATTACCTATGAAATTTTTAGTAGTATGCCATCTATTGAAATGGAGAGTTCTGTTCAAATACCTTCTTCATGGTGGCAAAAGTTGTCCTTTCTATAATGCTGGATTTTATCATTGTCACTGTAATAAATAGGCTTACATTCTGAGATTTGTTGTTTTGTTTTTCCTACCTTGATTATCTAGGCAATAATAACAATTGTAAGTTTCATCAGTACATGGTGAGATTCTTTTACTTAACTCCTGTCCACTAAAACCCGTTATACTTTTCTAGGTTTTTTTGGGGGGTGGGGCGCAGGTTTTATTTTGTTTTGTTGTTTGTTTCTTTTTGAGACAGGGTTTCTCTGTGTAGCCCTGGCTGTCCTGAAACTTACTTTGTAGACCAGATGGCCTCAAGCTCAGGGATCCGCCTGCCTCTGCCTCCCAGTGCTGGGATTAAAGGTGTGCACCACCTTTAATTTATTCTTTTTATTTTTTGTGTATGCAGAGTCAGCCAAGAATTAAAGGGATATTTGCAGTCATTTAGACAGCTTGTTCTGAGAAAGGATTCTTTTCTCATTTATATTATGTTTCTTTCTAGCTCTCTGTCAAAACATGAAGTTGTTTGTGGATGTGAAATGATATTTGTGCGCTTCTTATGGGCCAGAAAATTGTTCTCCATAAGTTCTCTAGGGACTCGACTGTAGCCATTTGAAGTAACCATAGCTATTTTTCTCATTTCAATGGTTAAGAAATGGAGGCTTAGAAACACAGTATCTGATCACAGCTTGAGAGAGAGAGAGCTTTGTATTGGGATGTGTACATAGTGGTATGTCCCCCGTCCTTCTTGCTGTGTACGAAGCTTTGGAGTTAGAGCTTTCGCTCTGTGAAAACATCTATCTGGTTAAAGAAACACCAACATACATATGAAGTCAGTAGATGAACTGTCTTCTTTATATGATGTGTAAACTGTCTCTAGACTGTCAGATCCCACTTTCCACAGAGTTGCCCAAAACCTAGATGTTTTCCCTATGCTGGTCTCCTATTCGATATGTATCTAGAATGACTCTGAACTTCGTATTCAACTTCTCTGCTCTCACCTTCTAAGTACTTGATTAAGGGCTCCAGGCCCAAAACACGAGGGCTTCTTTTATGCTCATCAAACTCCACTGAACCACAGTCCCAGGCCCCAAGCTAAGAGCTCTTCAGTGTGACTGTGTTCTACCTGAGTTACGAGATCCACCAACCCTGTAAACTGTAACTGGCTGTCATTCTAACTTAGGTCTTTTGTTGAGCAGGAATGAGAGTGTTGAAATATTCTCCACCAAGTTTCTCTGCATTCCTTTACATTTAGCAACAGAAATATAACGGAAAAAAAAAAAACATGTGAAATATAAAACAATAATGAACTCTGGCTGTCATTGTGCAGGCTTATTGTAATGGTGTAGCTGAATAGCCT